TTTTTTTTTTTTTTTTTTTTTTTGTTTCTCTTTTTTTGTTTCTCCTTTCACCTACACTGGGATTAAAAACGTATCTGACAGCGAACAATTTAGTCAAGACAACTAGGAATAGTATTAATGACCATGTGATGTCTTTGATCTAAGAACCCTGGAGGCCCGTTATCTCTGAAAGACTGACCTCAAATTTGATGGCTTGGCATTGCTCAGTCAGCGATATGGCTTAACTTTTAGCAATCCTTTTGCACATCCTTCCCCTTTGGGGCAGATACCCAGAAATCCTTCCTGATCCTCGACGCTTCAAAATCGCGCATGCCTTAGCATACGAGAACATCGTGCCAGACCACGCAAGCAGTGGGACCAAGATCTGATAAGCCATCCCAGGAACGTCAGATCATTACTCCGAATTGATCATGCCTTCCGGGCCGTGAGGATCCGGTGGTGCCCAGAAACCAATCGAATCAACTTAGCGACTCCACCATTACAGTCATATCATTCTCATTCCCCATCCTTCCACAGGATCAGATAAGTTCCAACGGTGAAGAATGCGGAGGCTAAGCTTGTTCGAGCTTGGCTTCTAACTGAGATCCCGCTTCCTCTTGGCGCGGCTTGGCATGGCGGAGATATCTCTCATGCAACGCGTCCTGGCCGTGATATAAAGCCAGGACAAAGATACCTTTCAGTCAATTCCCAGGCTCATTCTTCACTCGGGTTCTTCCACAGCTCGAGCACAACAATGTCTGCAGCACTCTTCCTCGGCCTCCTCGGCCTTGCTGCCCCCCTAGCGGCCGCAGCCAGTCACACCCCCGGCCTAGAATTGGCCTACTCCCTGGAGCGAGCCACCCAAGGCATCAGTATCTCAGCCGATGGCCGCAAGTTCCTCTCCCAGCGTTACTCCACCACCCTCCCTCCCCAAGCCGTCGAGCTCCTCGCCGACAACACCACGGTCCTATACCCCAACGCGGCCTGGAACTCCTACAACTCCAGCGACCCGACCTCGGACCCGCGCAAGGCCTTCGTCAGCATTGACGGCGCCCGCATCGGCCCCGACGGCCGCTACTGGCTCGTCGACGGGGGTTCCACCGGGGTGAACGGCTCCACCAAGCTCGTCGGCGTCAACCTCACCACCAACGCCGTCGACAAACTCTACTACCTCGACTCCATCAAAGCCTCCACCAGCGGCATCGATGACGTCCGTTTCAACGCCGCCGGCGACGTCGCCTACCTCAGTGACACCGCCGGCGCCCTCCTCGTCCTGAACATGACCACCGGCACCGGCGTCCGCGTCCTCTCCAATGATTCTTCCGCCCAGGCCTACTTCCCCATGATGTACAACGGTACCCTAGTCCCCGGCTATGGTGGCGCCGGCAGCACCCTCTCCGTCGGGCTCGACCAAATCGAAGTCTCCCCTGACGGAGTGTACCTCTACTACCAGCCCTGCAATGGCGGCTTGTACCGCATTGAAACCGCCTACGTCGATGCTTCCCTCACCAATGCCACTCTCGCTGCTACATTGGGCGACTACGCCGAACCATTCGCTTTGACTCCTAGTACCGGTGGAACCACCATCGACGGGGCCGGAAACATCTACGTGAGCGATACGAATCTCCTAGCTATTTGGAAGGTCACGCCTGAAGGACGCGCAACGATCCTCATCCAGGATGAGGCGCTTCTCTGGACGGATCTCATGTGGGTGACTGCGGATAAGAAGCTCTGGTTGCCGGCGTCGCAGATGAGACCCGGTGGTAATGGGTTGATGGCTGATGGGCCGAACTATATCTTTACGTATCCGATTGAGGCGGGGCCGTCGCCTATTGATCATGCTTGAGTCCTCTATGGTCTGTAAGCAGTATATGATGGATGTTGTATGAAATATATTGTGAGATAGTTAGTCGATTGTATCAATAAGGATTTACATGAATATCCTGGCTCATCATGTTACTCATGTTTCTGACTGAAAAAAATTTGGTATTGCTAATGTTTAACAGCTTTAGTAGGCTAAATAGGACAATCCCAACACTGCAGTTGTGCTCTCTCACATCTCTAACGGGAACCACGCCTACATATATACTCCCTACATCTTCTCTACCCGAACAACCCAGTCGAATTTTTCACATGCCCTTCATTTACAACCTCCCTTCTCACCTTTATCAACAGTGAAAGAGTCATCCGAGTAACCATAATCTACTACCGAGTACTCACCATCCATCCCACCGATCAGCCCAGACTCGGTCTACCACGCTAAGCCCTTTCCGTTCTAACCGTTTGGAATCCACCACGGCTTGGCTTCTCATCTGACCAATGACAGTATTCATTGGCTGCGAGGCACTTTCCAGAGTTTACCCGATTGGTCATACTTCCTGGCCGGACCCACTTCGGGTCTTTGCGGATTTCTATCTTGGAGGATGGGGTTGGAGCTTAGATATTTAGATTGGTGCTATGTATATGCCGGTTACAAGAGAATGATATGCGTACTAAGTGCTGGTAGGCTGCTGCCAAGTATTACTGTGATCTCTCGAATAGTACGAATATGTTCCAACATGTGAAATTTATACCCACCTGATTCATTAGGCTGATCCTGGCAATACTGACCACATAATGATAGATAGGAACCGACTGGATACGTTTAGGATTCTGCATGTTATAGTTGGTCTATGCTTGGGTCTGAGAGGGGTGTCAAGAGTCTGATCATATATGATCACTATGTACCAGTGTGATGTTCTCATGATTGCTCTAAGTACTATACAAAATTTGCTCTATATCCATGCTGCTCACAACGACCCCCAATTGGATTTCCTGATCAGAAATTTATAGGGGCTCAAGTATTACACAGGGGCATTTTACCTTTCCCATTTCGGACCAATGGAACAATGTTTGGTTTGACAACAATTTCCTACCATGGCCATGTATCTGCATTCCTGCCATGATACCATATCTAAACATTTATCTCATCTGCAAATCAAATATCTTACCCTGACATGCCAATTCTCACATATGACCCAGAATACCAGAATCAGTGCAAACGCCCGTCGAACACAGTGGGTCGACCACATCAACCATAATCAATTTTGCTCACCGAATCGCCACGGCGGACTGAGTTTGACCGCAACTGAAGATTGGGCCCATTGCTGAAATCAGCCTAGGGATTACGCCACCCGAATACCTTATTGGTCAGTCCATGTCCAGGCAATGAGTCGTGAGCCACTGCTGCCTCGCTTGACCATGATTCAGAGTCCCCACACTGATTATCTCGCTGCCGGTGACACTTCCGGCAGCCACCTGTTTGCTTGAATCAGGGGCCCCGGATTCTGGGCAGCGGTTATGAGTCCTTATCTCCATCTGCCGGACTTTTTTCTTACCCCACCATGGGTACCTAATTGCCCCGTTTCCCAACCTTCTTTGCACTTCACACGAAACGATAAAATGGAGTCTTCACCGGCGTGGATTCTGACAGGCCAGGAAGGTCTTAAAAGCCTCAAATTCATCCCGGATCAACCCATTCCCTCCCTAGGTGACTTATGATGTCTCGGTGCGCATCCACGCGGCTTCGCTTAACCACCGCGACCTAGCCATCGCTAAGGTATCACTTGCTTACCCTCTAAGCCCCTATCTGTAGCTAATAGCTATCTAGGGTGCCCACGCCCTCACCATCACCCCCAACATCGTCACTGCCTCCGACGGAGCCGGAATCGTGCAATCCGTAGGTGCCAAAGTCCAAACATTTCAACCGGGCGATAAAGTCTGCACACACATGGTCCCCCAGAAGCCTGAGACCGAGCCAGTCACGTTCGCAGATATCAGCGCAGGACTGGGTCAACGCGTCGATGGGACTCTTCGTCCATTTGGCGTATTCCATGAGACTGCGCTCGTGAAAATGCCGTCGAGTCTCCCTTTTCTTGAGGCGAGTACTCTCACGTGTGCGGGGTTGACGGCGTGGAATGCGCTCTTTGGGTTGGAGTCAAGGGCCCCGAAGAAGGGCGATATGGTGTTGGTGCAGGGGACGGGTGGGGTTTCGGTTATTGCTTTGCAGGTGGGTTGCACTCGTTCCCCCCCTATTTTCCTCTTATTTTCCTCCTGCTTCTTCATTGTGTGACGTAGGAATGTACTAACATCGGCTAGTTTGCACTCGCTTGCGGTGCTACGGTAATTGCCACAACTAGTTCCGACGCAAAAGCCCAGAAACTCAAGGCAGCTGGTGCTCATCATGTCCTCAACTACCGGAAGGATCTAAAGTGGGGCGAGACTGCGAAACAGCTCACACCGGATGGCAAGGGTGTGCATCTGGTGGTTGATGTTGGTGGATGATCAACTGTCGGGCAGTCGCTGAAAGCGGTGCGACCAGAGGGCGTGCTTGCCATGACAGGACTCTTGGGGGGTGCTCCAGACGCAAATGTCAATACTTTGATTGACTGTTTGGTGAACTTGTGTACCGCGAGGGGGGTGCTATTGGGCACGAGGCAGCAGTTCGCGGAGATGAATGCGTTCATTGAGGAGCATGGTATTCGGCCGGTGGTGGATGATAAGGTGTTTGGGCTTGAGGAGGCTGCTGATGCGTACCAGTATATGGATGACCAGAGACATTTTGCCAAGGTTTTTGTGAGGGTAGACTGAGGGATGCGAAGGTTCCGGCGACAATTACTACATTCGACAAAGTATCACAGTAAATAAGTCTCAGTCACCAGGCGCTGAAGATCAACCAGCCTTATCTGACAAGTCCAACAGACATCGTGGCTAGAGGTAGGAGGCAAGGTTGATGTTTAGGATTCCTTAGAAGCCATTTGTTCCCCAAATCTAACCTCCACCTGTTTCGGAATCAATTGGTCTAGCAGTCGTTCTTCGTGGTCCGTAAGAGTTGTAGAGGCTATACCCTCCTACCTGGTCACCAGGGCTTTCTTCTGAGAGTCGTTTACGAGGCCATAGAAGTCCAAGTGATCTAAAGGCCTTAAGCGATTGCTAGTATGAATTCCCGCCTGAATTGGGCTCGTGTTGCTTTGAGAGAGGCAAGCGTGGACGCAGGCTTGCAGGACAACCATCATCCTCGTCTCGTCCACGGAAACAGGCTTTTCAGCAACGAAGCTACTCCCGGAGAATAAGGCGAGTCGTACTCAATACTAACTTGAAGATCCAGACGCTGTAATCCCTCTTTGTCCGCGATATGACCCCCAAATCCTTGTCTCGAGTCATGAGATTTGAAGGTATTCCAACAGGATGTCAAATCGAGGAGCATTGAGGATGAGTACTGTGTTGCCTAAGAACATGATCGGTAAGTCGAGGGCTGATTTGGAAACCTTGGACGGTTGAAGGGAAGAGGCCGGCCCGGCCGCACTCCCGCACGGGACAGCAGGCAGGCGATGAGCTGGCTAATTCCGCCAGCGTCGTTCTAGGGAAATCGCCCCGATGCAGAATGACATCGTTGTGAGCACTGGTTGCTAAAGCATGTTGGGCTTGATGCAAATGATCGCCAGGGCTGAAAAGACTAAGCCTGATCGGGCCGGCAACCGACATCCGGACCCGATTAGGAAGGCCCGGGTGCTTCCGACTGGCGGGCAACGAGATCAAAGATGTTGGGAATCTGGCTGCCTACGTCAATAGTCTCTGCCTTGTTCTGAATAGTCTTCCCCTGGGGAGGCCAGTGGAGTGCCGGTGGGCGAGATTAGAAAGGAGATCAGAGCAGCAGGGAGGAGCACCTTGGAATGAGGCATAGGAACCAGTTCCCAAAGACCTAGTTGAGTGGCAGAATACTCCGTACTTCCTCCTATTTGGAGAAAAACAACTCATCCAGCACCTCACGTGCACATACCCCACCAGTTTTTCTCCAATCCACCCGAGGGATTTGTACCTGATCCTTCCCGGGTACCGGTGATGAACCCGAATCCTGTGCACAGGACGGGGTACCGTGACTGCGTTGATCATCCAGCGAGAGCCTATCATGTCCGAAGCTCCACTCCCCCAGTAGGTAGCCACCAGTCACCCTGACATCGCTGGACTCCCGACCAACGAACTCCGTGACTTTAGAGTGCTTATACACTGAGCACTAAGCCAAGGTAATCGATCCTACGTCGCTTGGCCACTGAAGCTGACGCCGCCGAGTGTATATGCGGCGGTGTTATGCATTGCTGGTACTCTGGCCCGGTCAACCGAGGCCTTGTATATTCGAAGGGATGAGAAAAGTCGAGTCGATGTAAGTAGTGTATAGCTTGTTAACGAGGGTTTGCTGGTTTCAATTTAGATTCAAGATTAAAAAGGGATCAGCACGTTTTCTCAACTCACATTTGCCAGCAATACTCCCTGGATCAAAATAACGATCGGAGAAAAAAACAATGCCATTCACCGCTCCATTGTTTCACCCTTGATGACATGACATCCCTGTAATGCTGCACTGCATCTGGGATCACGAATCGGTCCTTCGACCATAGGCAACCGGAAGAAACGGCACACATACAGGCCAATCCCTTGCCTGCTAACTATACCTTATTGACGCGTCGTGGTGCACAGGCCATCAGCACAACTCATGGCATGTGACAGCACTCCATTCATTCATCCACCTCCCTCGAAACTCTCTTGCGGCCTCCCCAACTTGGGCTTGATGTCATAGTTGGTAGCAGAGTGGCAGTTATTCTTCCGGCAGGGCGGATCGGAAGCCGTTGCACCATGACATCCCACGAGGCATGCCAGGCAGAGGGAAATGATTTATCCTACTTATCCTTCACGAGCATGCCTCCCGGTGATCGACAGGTGAGCCGGCCCTTGTTGCGACACCATTCATAGGACCAGTGCATAATTGTCTCCACTCTGCAGCTTCCCCGCTCGGTCGGCTGTGGCCCCAACCGCGCCTTCGACGTAAGATTGCCTGCCAAACACATCCAGAAGGCGTATGAACTCTCCCTGCACTGCCATCGGTGCTCGGCTCTGAAGCGCCGAGCGTCGTCACTTGCATCGGTCTATGTTTCGTCGCGAAGCCGGGACCCTTTCACTGCTGATAGCTTCATGCAGCGTTGAGGGGCAGCGGGTCGTGTGCCGGCTTGGTCTAGCATCTGGTTAGCCTTGTGCAGCTCCGTGGGAGCATAACCGGGATGACGGTTGCATCGCGGTGCGACAACTCTGTTCGAGAAAGGTAATAAATACCATGTGCGAGTTCATGGGGATGGTGGTGTGCATTGAGCGCAGCCAACCCTTCATTGCGATTGATTGTTGGTCCGGCATTCAGAATGATTCATGAACATATTGCAGAGACCCTTGACGGGCATTACCCTCCACTTACAGCTGGCCTCGTACGTGCAATCCGTCCAGGGCCCAGGTGCCCGCGCCTGCTAACGTCGTCGGTTTCTTCTCTGATTATAGATATTCCTTTTTATCGCGGGCAAATGCTTCTACGAGTGGTTCATCAACCCTCTACATAAGTTCCCAGGACCCAAGCTGGCGGCGGTCACCCATCTGGTGCATATGTATCACTACCTCGCGGGTGATGAAATTGCCTGGGTGAAAGGCTTGCACCTCATCTATGGGGACGCCGTCCGAACCTCACCCGACCACATCAGCTACTCGTCCGCCGAGGCCTGGAGAAGTATCTACGGCCACGCGAGCGCGACCAAGAAGTCCACCGAGAAGGACATGCGTTTCTTTGGCCAGACTTTGAACGGAGTCCCGGACATCATCCGCGCCCCGGCCGTCGACCACTCGCGCTTCCGTCGCAATTTCTCGCATGCTTTCTCGGACAAAGCCTTGCGTGAGCAGCAGCCACTCATCGCCCACTACGCGGACATGCTGGTCGAGAAGCTCCGCGTTATCGTCAAAGCAGACCCCAGGGCAAACATCGAAATGGTCCTGATGTATAACCTGACCACGTTCGACATCATGGGTGACCTGACCTTCGGGGATCCTCTGAATTTGTTGGCCGGCACCGGCAACGTAGGCTGGGTAACGTCAATCTTCTCCAGTGTCAAGGTCAATACACTGAAACGGGTCGCACGATACTACCCGTGGTGCTCCTATTTCCTGAACCAGATTCTTCCACGGTCCTTGAAGCAAAGGCAAGCGTCACATCACCAGTCCTGCAAGGATAGGGTCGATTGGCGGGTGGATCAGAGCCTCAACCGTCCCGATATATGGGGCCTCATCATGGCCCAAAATGACACCTTACGTCTGAGCCGCGAGGAGATGTACGCCAACTCGCAGCTGTTCATGGTCGCGGGGACCGAGACCACCGCCACGGCCCTGAGCGGCCTCACGTATCAGTTGTTGTTGAACCCCGACAAGCTGGAGCGAATTACCAAGGAGGTTCGTGACACCTTTGAGCGAGATTCGGACATTGATATGCTCCGCTTGGCACAGATGAAGTATTTGAATCGATGTATCGAGGAAGGCTTGCGGATGTACCCACCCGTCCCCTCGGGAATGCCCCGTATCGTCCCCAAGGAAGGCATGGAGGTCTGCGGCGAATATGTACCTGGAAATGTAAGCATACCCAGCGCCATTCCCCGCATCAAGCTAACACGAGGACTCAGACGGCTGTCTCCGTACACCACTGGGCGACCTATCGCAACCCGAGAAACTTCACTCGGCCGGACGAATTCCTCCCCGACCGCTGGACCGACGACCTTGAGTTCGCCGGCGACAACAAGGCTGCTTTCCAGCCGTTCTCTTTCGGCCCTCGTAACTGCCTGGGGAAGAAGTAAGCCCCTTTGTCAATCACTCCCGTCATATGGATAATGTCTAACGTCTGCACCAGTCTCGCGTATCATGAAATGCGACTCATCCTAGCCAAAGTTCTCTACCACTTCGACCTGGCTCTGGCTCCGGAATCAAGAGGTTGGGAGAAGCAGAGAGCGTGGACTTTGTGGGAAAAGAACGACCTGATGGTTCAACTGACACCGCGGGCCTAGATGCGGACATTTGTTGGAGATCGATAGGATGTAATCTTTGGGTTATTGGATGTCTAAAAACGTGGCATTGCGCGCGCATGGGGTATCGGTGGAGAGTCGGGGATGCCTGTTTTAGCCTGTTGTTTGAGCCCATGGAGTTAGTTCCTTGTTCATTCAGTCAAGTTTGTAGGACGGGTGGCTGAGTCAAAGCCTACACTAAGAGCCGTAGGCCTCTGGTCACCAAATGGTGGCGTTCCGGTAATTTGTCATAGAAAATAATGTCCGATAGCTCGCCGGGTGGACGCGTCCCTGTTCTCTCCTCGAGAGGGCACAGTATCGCGGGAGTTCATGTCCTGTCTGATGCTGGCGAGGAGCATCATCGTCGCCGCGGCCGTGGATGGCAACACGACTTCCCAAAGGGGAAATGGCTGGCGGGAGCCGCTGGCCCGTGACGTCATGTGGCATTCCAACCGATCCAAGGGCGACGTGGCCATCGCAACACAATTCCGGATCCCCAGGGATTGGAAACCGGCATGGACCTCCCCTTGTCCGGCCCGGCGTCCACGCTCAGCGTGCAGATCGTCGAGGGGGTCTTGTCTCATCATGACATCCGCTGTCGCATGGACATGACGTCTAAGACCAGGGTTAGTCTAGACAGTTTCCACGGTCGCAAAGTTCGAGCGTCCCCGCCCATGCATTTATGGTGACGGGGCAATGCTGCAATGACGCCAGCGTACAGTATTTTGACAAAACAGAGCTTTATCGCTGATCATCCACCAGCTAAGGGTATTGCCATTCTTCCCGATCCCTCACGTGTGCAGCGAGAGTGACCTAGTCGCTCTGCAGCCCTGCGCTCGTCTGATAAGCAATGGCGGTCACCAATGTGGAAATCCCTTACGCTTAGTATACATCCCTGACTGCCGCCATGGTGTCATGTGTGCCCTGCGTGTAAGACTGTTAACTTTTGCAGGAACCATGATCGACACCTGGAGCACCGACTCTACACGTCGATAGCTGGAACGGATTCAGCCGTCCTTTTGGACAATGGGATTGTGGACGGTTGATCCGAATTTGCCTCCAGAAGGACGATTAGTCGGGACTGGGGTTCTGCACCGCAGATCCTGTCAAGAGGCTCTGCTACGCTTTTTTCCCCAGCTCGTCAGTGGTTTCACGGCAGACTACACTATGTGTCATAGCCAATCCCAGCTTGAAAGAGACCGCACGAGCTTGCGCTTAGTACAAGCCCTCCAGACGGCAGAGGGCCATGGTACCATAGCCACCTTTCCCTCATTGGAACATTCCCTTCGGCTCTATACCCAATTATGTTGCTTATTTCTCCCTCGGTGTATTGGCCGTGTCGCTTGTTTACGTGATTCGACGCTGTCGATGGTGCCGCCTGGTATGCCCGGTATTGCGGTTCGTTTGCTCACTCTAGGTCACTGTGCGGTATCGCCAGCCCTTCCTCATCAGTTTGACCACTTTGCGAAGCTAGCCTGCCTGAAGACTCTGCGTCTGGCTCCACCGCTCTATTGTGTGGTAGCGGTCGAGGGAAAGTGGGCCGTCCTTGTTGAGAAAGACACGGTCATGCTGATAGGCTTGGTGGGCGAGACTGACCGGAGAAGGATGAAACGTGACAGGATACCGACGTTTCGGCTAGTACCGTTACGGAGAAGACGATGGGCAGAAGGTGCTTGCACAATGCCGGTGAGGGTGTGGTGGGAGGACTGAGGTCGCTGGGGACCGAGGCGGGGGCGAGATCGCCTCTTTCCCAGGTCGGTAGGGTCCCTCACTTGGCTAACCTATCAGACCGTTTCTTAGTCCGGGCATGTTCGGTATATCCCCATCATGTCTGGCGAAGAAGTCCTAGGGCGGATGGATGGAATGGCTGAGCTTACCTGCCGTTGATCTAGACCTCGTCCCCTCCAGACGATAGGGAGTCATCCCTGCCTGGGACGGCCGATTCTGTTGCAGTGACGAGGCATGACAGCTGCACTAGGCAAGGATGCAAGCAGCTGCAGGGAAGCAATTGAGCGCAGAGCCAGTGAGAGATGGAGTCTTCTCCAACGGAGACGAAGCCGGGTGATGCAACCAACCAGTGGACGGATGTTATCCGAGAGGCTTAGGCTGGCACCCGGTCTGACAGGGTTGGGCCTCACCTCACCTATTTCTCCGTGTTGGCGACGTGGACTCGCTCTCCGGGCCCGCAATCGGGGCTCGGAAAGCACGTCCACTGGGTGATTCCCTACCCATGTCGGAGGGGGGCGGAGGGATGTTGGGGCAAGAAAGAAGGACTGAGGAAAGGGAAAGAAGTGATGAATGGATGAGGGGATGGATGGATGGATGGATGGATGGATTGATGGCGAGGGTGTCCGGAGCAAACAAACAGCAAACATCCAGGCGATGGCGGTCTCACATGATCGGGGACTTACTGAATCCAGCAGGTTGATGGCTGAGGTGTCTGTCCGTCGCTGCTACGCACTCGACTGCTTACAGGCTAGTAGCCCAACATCCTCGTTTACACACCACGCCGTCCTTGTGATTGGACACCGGAATTGTCCTGTGGGAATCGGATTCCTCAAGATGCCCGAGCTCAGGTAGCGCATTTCTATCTGCCACAGTGCCACCACATAGTAGATACTCCATAGTACTCCGTATGTGTGTACGTCTGGCCTTGTGGTCTCTGGTTGGGCCAGGCAGGGCAGGTCCAACCCGTCGGGACGACTGGAAATCCTAATAATAGGCCTAAGTATTTTTTTCATGGTAATGTGGGAAAGCGGGCGACGGCCTAGTTCGTAGTACCGGCCGGCTAAGGCCATCCGAACCTTTACCCAGTTCCACCCGCTTATCTCGGAGGCATTTCTATAACAGTTCAGGTTGGTCACAGGTCACGACCCCTCCCCTGTCATTTGTTTTACAGCCTACCCGTCCCTGAACTTTGTTTCGGTCTGGGCCCGTCTAGAGAGACGTGGGTACTATGAAGAGAAGCGGGTTGTTTGCTAGGCCATGCAAGCCTTCATCAACTAAGCCTGGGGGATGTCAGGCTCATCCCTTCATGCGTCTCCATCCCAAAGAGGTATAATCGAGTTCTCTGCTAGCGATGAAGTCAGAGTGATTGTCAGACGACGATCTGGAACCTCCCATCGCCACCTGGATGACCGAGTCAAACGAGACATGTGGATGGCGTGACGCAGGTCTAGCTTTGCCTCCCCCGTATTCGGAGGTACCCCTCGAATTCGTTAGTGTGGCCACGTCCCTGGACGAGGCTTGGGCGGTTCCAGCGGTGCGCGGAGCCAGGGGCGCCCTGTCTGGAAAACAATTCCGTGAAGTTCATCCAGTTTCTGTTCGTTGATGTCAGAGAGAGGGGAGGGATGAACTCATAGTTACATAGAAGGAGGACTAAGATAGGCTGGAGGCACTATGGCTGCGATCGCAGGCGGGCGGCGCGTCAGGTGATTCGCTCGGAACCCCGGCCAAAAGGTTGGGGTGGTGCCGACCAGGTCCACCACCCTGCTGCAGCTCCTCACTGGCTGGCTAATACTCCCGCTCTCCAGCGTCTCGATCATTGGGCTTGGCCATTGCATTTTCTGCAGGCGTGATCCCAAAGCCAGTAGCGGTCCGCCTGTTGCCACTACCGATGGCGAAGTCCGGCCGTCTGACTGGTTCGCGGGCTCCATGTGTTCATGGCAAAGTTTGGTCGGACCTGTCCTCGGGTACTAAGACCACTAGGTAAGGTACATCAGGTACTAAGGTTAGTACGGTGGTCTGCTAGTGAATGGTAAGGTACCTCGTCCCGGCCGGGACCATGCTGAAGTCCAATACTTGACTCCAGAAGCTACCGCCGGCGTGGTCAGCTAGACCGGAAAGGGGAGAGCGAGAGCCGCGAGATAGGTCCAACTTTGTCCTAAACCTTGGGAACCTGGAAGGAGCTTAGATGGGGAAAATGGTATTGTGCATGGAGCATGGATAGCTCCCCGCCTAATGAAGTATGCCGGTTCCGACACTGGCGGCCGACGGAGTACCCTCTTGGACGCTAGCGCGGTGGCCGGTGATTGGACGGATGGAATAGCCGCCAGCGACAGGCCTGGCCAAGACTGGGGCATCTGGAGGCTTGTCTGGATGTGTACTGGACGGCCCAGCGGAAATACCGCCGTCTCACCTGGCTTTCCAGAACAATATTACCGCCCTCTGGCCTGCTCGCTAACTGGCTGTTGCGTTTTAAGCTTCCCCTCGGGGCCTGTTGGTCCTTTTTTCCTCTTTTTCCTCTTTTTTCTTTTTTTTCTTTCTTCTTCTTTAACTTTTTGCCTTTTTTTGTTCCTTTTTGCCCAGTTTCCCTTTTTTGGGTTGATCGTTCTTGGTCTGGACTGGTACCTTTTTTTCATTTGTTGTATTTTTCCCTTATGCCTAATTTTTTTACCTTTTTCCCAATTTTCACTGTTCTTTGTCGTTACTTGCCATGCAGCACCTCGATGGGTCCCGGAAAAGCATCCCTTGACCATTGGGCCGCCGTCCCCATATATAAATCTAGTATTACCGCTAGCACTACTACCACTACCGCCACACGACAACCACGATTATTATATTGTACTCTGGGAGCACTGCGATCGCAACTGCCTCCCTTGGCGGAATTTGGGACACCGTGCTGCCGGGCCAACATTATCCTTCCCTCGTAGTCCGTCCCATTCTCCGGTTACCATTCACCAACTACTTTCCCGAGATCGGTATTATCCGCCTTCTCGCCTCCTCGCCTCCCGCCATCCCCTCTTAAGACGCCGCTCAAGACGACTACACGACTCTTTGGTAGTCGTCTTGCCCGTTGGGTTATCTTCAGATCATCTTCATATATGTCCGAGTCACAGCCTTCTCGTTTCCTAGCCCCAGCTCCTGGTCAGCCTTCGGTGTCCAAGACACCGGACAACGCCGGCCAGGGGCGCAAACACAAGACCACCGCCTGCAAGGCGTGTAAACAGAAGAAGCTCAAGGTGGGATTTCTTCATCAAGCCCGTCCGCCATGAATGGTATCCCCGTGCCATCACATCGCAGCGTCTTCGTCGGCTAACCCCTTCTAGTGCAGAGGTGACCCGCCATGTCAACACTGTGTGGCAAATGGTATCCCATGTCTGGTCGACGAGATGGCCGACATGCGCCGCAAATATGCCATGAAGCGCAAGCTTGAACGCCTGGAACAAGCGGAAGAGACCCTGCTCCGACTGATCGATGCCCTCCGAGAAAGCGAGAGTAAACGCTTGGCGCAGCTCTTGAACCTGATCCGGAGCAATGCGTCCTTCGAGGAACTCCAGATCTTCCTGGAACAGCAATTCACCGGACAAGAGATTGAGATGTCCCCGGAGCTGCGCGAGCTCCAAAGCCAGATCTCCCGCCCCTCCGAGGATGAGGAGGAGCGGTCCTCCACCCACTCCCGGGCGCCCCGCCGCGTCCTGGATGTTCGCCGCCTGGCCGATAGCCCGGTTCATCGCGTCCCCGCCAAACCGTGGACCCGGGTGACCGACGACGACGACCTCGTGTCGCATCTGATCTCGTTATGGTTGACCTGGACCTATCCGTTCTTCGACTGGCTGGACAAGGACGCTTTTCTTCGAGACATGCGGGCCGGGAACCTGGAATGCCAATTCTGCTCCCCCTTCTTGGTGAATGCCATTCTTTCCGAGGCCAGTGTAGGTGCAGCAGACCCCGAGACAGAAACGTGTCCTGAAAACTAATCTAGTCTGTGATGGATGTAGTACTACTCGGACTACGCGGAAGTGTTTACCGTCCCCGACAACACCCTCACGCGGGGCGACCATCTTTACGAAGAAGCGCGTCGATTGCTGGAAGAGGAGGAGGAGGGCGGGGCGAGGATCCCGACCATCCAAGGGCTGTTGGTTCTGTTTGTCCGGTGGGTAGTTGAAACCTCGCAGGTAACACAAATCGTGTACTAACAGGGCTGGTGGGGGGAACAGGATGGTTCTGATGGGCAAGGATCGGTTGGGTTGGATGTACCTGGACCTGGCCATCCGGGGGGCCGACGAGTACGCCGAACGACATCCGCCCCGACCGTCGGATCCCAACGACAACATCATCAACCGCACCCTCTGGGGCGCGTTTAATATCGCCTCGTAGGTTTTCCCCTGACCCGATTGTCCCGCATCAACTAACTCCAACCTTGGCAGCACGGCGACAGTGTCATTGATGAAGCACATCGACATCAGCCCTCCACGACGACCACGCATCCCGGTGACGCATGGCGACCCCCACGATGTGTGGTACCCCTACCCGCGCGAGGTGGAAGGCGTTCGCGGGCACCACAACTGTGTCTTTGATAGCTGGTGCGATTTCTGCTGCATCATGATCCGCATCAGCACGGGCTTCCACGACGTGGACCACCAGGTGGCCGCGTCGCAACGGGTGGGGTTTATCGAGAGCGTCTACCACCAGCTGCAGGGCTGGTACGCCCACCTGCCGCCTTGCTTGAGTGCCGAGGCGGCGGCGGTCCCCCACGTCCTGAGTCTACATATGTTCTACCACACCACCGTCATGCAGATCTTCGGCTTTCTTCGGTCCAACCCAGACGGGGCCCTGGATGCGGCCAGGGTCAGCCATGCCCGGGAGCTGTGCCTGGCGTCTGCCCGCCAGGTGGCGGCGCTGCTGGGCGTCCACCGCGACAAGTGGGGCATCGACCGCATGGCGCCCTCCACCATTCAATGGTGCAGCATCGGCCTGTTCACCCTCATGGAGTCACTCGACTCCCCCGCCAACCGCAACGCCTTCATCGAGCTGTGCATCATCGCGCGCGCTTTCTCGCGCCGGTTCCCCCTGGCCAAGGGCATCCTGCGCATGATCCAGCTGTCGGCGAATCAGACCCAGGTGGTGCTCCCCGAGGAGACGGATGCCCTCTTTACCGACTTCGAGACGCTGGCCTGGAAGGAGAGGGACGCGCAGGAATTCAGCAGCTTCTACCCGCATTTCCAGTCGGTCGTGCAGCAGGGGCCCACCCGCCAGGGGGACGTTGATTTGGACCAGTTCCTGGCCAAATGGGATACCCTGGATCTCTCCCATTCGCGGCGCGGTTCGGAGGATGAGTCGAAGCGAGGCAGTTCTGCGGAGGGGTGAAGGGACGGGCCAACGAGAAATCGGAATCGCCTTTACGACCTAATGAATCACCATCTTCCATCTGCGTACTACGAGCATTTCCCGGTTTGGGATGGCCCACCTCGGATCCGGTGCGTCCGGCGTAGCAGTAAACCCGGATCGTGTAGGGATCGACATGTGATGTGTCACCGTTGCCTGGCGGTCGGAATCTTCTTCCGGTCTCACGGCGAAGGAGAGAATCCAGTCGGTCGGCGACCTTTTCCGATGGGGATGTCTCACTGTCTCCTCCGGCGGTGCCCCCGCATCGCGTTGGCCAGGCGGGCGAGTGAGAGAGTTGCTGCTCCTCAGTGCCGTCTGTGCGTCTGCCCACACTAGCGCCAGGCCAGTGCGTTGCCGCAGCGAGCTACGTGCGTACCTTAGTACTGCCTTCCAAGCGAGGGATCTGTATCCCAGGCCAACGTGCCATCCTCCGCCCTACGAGGTTGGCAAGCCAGCGTTCCCCGTGGATGACCTTGCCCGCCCGCGTCGCTTTTCCTGTTGCCTTTGCCGCGGGCATCCTCGAACCGCCGCATTGATGGGACGTCGAGGGCCTGTACATAGTAACTGGGCTGGCCATTTCGGAGAAAACCCGACCGGCTGAGAGCCTGGCGGGATTAGTTGGAGACATTGCGGCCGTCGAGTGGGATCGGGGCCGTTTGTCGGGAGTGGTGTGATGTAGTGACCAGCCAAGGCCGGGATTATCCTGGATCGCGGCGAGGGCTGCTGTCCCCGATTGACCAATCAGCGGCGGCCGCGGGCGCGATCAGCCTGCCGGCGAATTGCACGATTCCCTGCCATGATTCTCCATCGAACCGACCAGGAATTTGATTCCGCGCCTCACCTTCCGGTCTCAGTCTCGTTGATGTCATCCGCCAGCTGCTGACTCTCGAGGGAAAATCGCGCATCGCATCTGCTGTCGGCCAGGTGTAACCTCTTCCCCGGTGAGCCAGATCTGTACCCCTCTCGCTGCAATACCGTGCACAATACATGTGATACGCTGCAATACCACTAGACGGTGACCGATACGGTTTCATCCCACTGACCAATGACAGCTGCCATGGGCTGTGCCTTCGTCTCAGACGGGTTGCCTGCATCGGGTGGCACTCATCGGTCATGTGACTGGCACGTGGGTGCTCTGGATACTACTGTCATCTACCGCGTATCCTGATTCCTGCCCCAAGGGCAAGTCATCACATTATATTGTCGGTAATTGTCGATTCTAAGAGGTCGTACTTTTCGCGGTGATCGGGATCTGTACAGTGGGATCTACGTGCCCTGCATGCAGCATGCAACAATCATAGTAAATAGCTGATCAGTTATCCTAAGACGAACATGTCTCCATCATAGTCCTTTGAAAGCAACCACTAAGGTTGATGGGTTGTCCTTCATTCCATCACGGAGCACAGTCCTCCGACCTCATGGTTTCTCGTCACACACATGCTATCTCCACACAAGAGCCAGGAGTTTTCCAACGCATTGTGCTACGGTCTACCATCATCCAATCCACAGAGACAAACCAACAACACAGGTACACAGTGCACCAAATTTGCCACAACAGACCCGACTGTTCGAATTGACATTGTGGGCAGACAGCGGCAGTTACCCGAAACCTTAAACCAACGCGGGTAGACATCAACCAACCACACCATCGCCGGCAGGATCTACACGCCTCCATCCCGTCAACAGATTTTTTCTTCTCCCACCACACCGCATCACCTGCATCTCACCAGCCACATCATGATCCAGGTCCCCAGCGCTGGCTCCCAATGCCAGCAGCAGGAAGGACCCCCCTCTGCCGCCCTCCCAGCGGACAAGGATGTCGCCTGGGCCGTAGTCAGCGACGAAGCCGGGGAGATCGACCCCGCGATTGAAAAGAGGGCGTTGCGCAAGATTGATGCTTTTTTTATGCCGGCGATGTTGATTGGTTCGTTCTCATGTTTCATCTGCACATCCTGTTTATCTATTCATTTGCCGAATGGATGGATCCGGATGAATCTTTGCCCGGATGCATGGCTAATCTCGGTGTCTAGGATATGGATTTGTCTATTGGGACAAGGTTCGTTCACCCAGTGGCATGCATTGCATCAGACTAACCTATTTCAGGCCATTCTGGGCAGCGCCTCGCTGTTCGGCATGACGACGGACCTGCAGCTGTCGGTCATGGATTACTCCACCTCGCCAGCCACCAAGGATACCTCGCGACTCAGCTGGGCCACCTCCATCTTCTATTTCGGGATGATGGCGGGGCTGTATCCGATGACGTTTATACTGCAGCGGTTTCGCATTCGGCAGGTGTTGGGCCCCGTCGTGATGCTGTGGGCGATTACCTGTGCCGCCACGGCGGGGGTGACCTCGTGGCGGGGGCTGTTTGTGCAGCGGTTTTTTCTAGGTATTTTTCTCGCTCATCCTCTGTAGGGGCTGCTGACCAAGGTAGGGTTCGTGGAGAGCGTCATTCCCACCGGGTTTATGACCGTCGTCAGTGGGTATTATACGCAGAAAGAGCAGAGTCTGCGCCAGGCGTGGTGGTTTTCAGGCACTGGCTGGTTCACCATTATTGGAAGTGCACTCAATTATGCCTTTGGGCAAATTGATTCCGGGAGCCTCAGGCCGTGGCAGTATATCTATATTTTCGCGGGTGCACTGACGTTTCTCTTTGGGCTGTGGTGCTGCGCCATGCCCAATTCGCCGGTCGAGGCGTGGTTCTTGACGCACGAGGAGAGGGTTGTGGCTGTGGAGCGTCTGCGCCGGGGACAGACTGGGGTGCGATGCCATGTGATTAAGAAGGAGCAGATTGTGGAGGCCTTCCTGGATGTCAAGTTGTATCTGATTGCGATTATGATGGCTTCCGCGTAAGTGATTTGACAATATGGTGAGTGTTGCTGACCCGGTTCAGGTATACCATCAACGGAGCGATTTCGGGATTCGGCCCGTTGATCGTATCGACTTTTGGCTATGATACCCTCGACTCGATTCTGTTTCAGTTTCCTGTTGGTGGTATCTGCCTCATCTTCATCCCCCTTTGCGGATACATCTCGTCACGCGTCCCCAATACACGCATCCCCATGCTCATCGCCTGCTGTCTCCCGGTCATCGCCGGATGCGTGATCATCTGGAAATCCGAATGGGGATACCATCCGGCGGCACCGGTGGTCGGGTATGCCATCACCGGCTTCTTTGGTCCCGTCGTCAGTCTCATCATCACCCTCGGTGCCAGCAACGTGGCTGGCGCGACGAAGAAGACCGTCATGGCCGCGACCGTGTTTGTCGCCTACACCGTTGGAAACATCATCGGGCCGCAGCTGGTCAACAGCAAGACGGTTGACCAGCACTATCCGGAGCTGTGGGAGGGAATGGTGATTTGCTATTGCATCACGATTGCGGCCGCGATCGCCCTCTACTTCGTGCTGTGGCGGGAGAACCGGCGTCGTGATGCCCTAGACCTGGACGAGAGCCAGCGCGACAAGCTGGCCTTCCAGGATCTCACGGACAAGCAGAATCCCTTTTTCCGGTACGTGCTGTAATGCGTCGACCAGCGGGAGACTTGCTCGATAGTGAATTCAATCATCCTCGTAGAGATTATCAAATTGAGTCCCATCATCTCCCGTAATCACCACCCACCGGACCTTTCGGGCAATCCGGGCTTCCCTCTTCTCGACCCGCTGTAGCCTTCTCTCACTCTGCTGAATCCGCTTGGTCACTTTCTTCTCGCGCTCCTTGACCAATTTCTCCATCTGCCGGTCCAACGTCTTCAACTCCTGCGCCAAATCATCCTGCACGATGCCCCGACCCTGCAACGACTCTCCCAACGGGCCCTGCATGCGCTCTTTGGCCCTCCCTCTGGCCTCCTCCCTCGCCCACTCCACCTCCTCCATCTTCCCCAACAACTCCTGCTCTGCAGCCTCCGCCTCCCCAATCCCCCGAACCGCCTTTCCATGCCTGTCAATTAACCGATTATTCTGCCTGTCGGCAAACCACTTCTCCTGCATGCTCGCCGCCCTGCGCAACCAGTTATCCCCGTCCACGGGGCCCTTCCTTTCCTTCAATACCAACGGCGCCACATACTCCTTCAACGCCTCCATCCGTCTCATCCGCGGGTCAAACTTCCCTCCAGTCCCTCTTTCCTTGGCCTCCACTTTCTCCCCCTCGCCCCCCTCCCAAACCTCATCCCCCTCCTCATCCTCCAAAACAGCCGGTAACTCCAACACTCCCCTCCCCTCAACCCCCACCACCCCCAACATCTCCCTCGTCCTGAGCACCCTCACCCTCAACCCCCTCGGCCCAAACAACCTCTCATTCGCGACCCTCAAAAACTGCCTCGTCCGCACCCACGACACCATAAACGAGCCATACTCGGCCGCAGTCTGGATCCCCAGCGCGAGGAGCTGAAATTCAATGGTGGGGACAAAGGAGAGGAGGTTTCCGGCTTGCCCGGCGGCTTGGAGGTAGGGGTTTGCGAGCCAGACGGTGTTGAGGGTGTCGAGGAAGGTGAGGAAGTCGGGGGTGGTGAGGGGGGTGGGAAGGGTGGAGAGGATGGGGGAGGTGGCGCGCGTGAAGGGCCGGTGGATGGTGCCGTGGTAGGTGTGTGCGGTTTCTTGAGTGTTCTTTAGCATTTGGTTTGGGGGGGTGGAGGGATGAGGCTTACGGGGGATGACGATGGGTTTGGGGAGGATGGTGGAGGGGCGGGGGTAGGTGGTGAGGATTTGGTTGGGGATTAGGAGGGGGGTTTTGGTGTCGGTGTCGGTGTCGATGGAGTACTCCGTTTGGAATTGTTTGGGTGAAATTGTGATCGGTCGAGGCGGAAGTGGCGGGGGGATATTTTCAGAGACAGCCATGGCGATAAATCTTATAAAGTATCTAATTGAGTAGTGAGCAATTGAGCCCCGACGAACGACCCGTGGGATCAAGATGGATATATACTCCAATAAATTTGATGCCTGAAGTGACAAAGAATGCTCGACCCCGGCCAGCACAGCCGACGCCATTCTATCTGCTGATTGGTCCAGGCGTATAAGCCGAGGCGCTGATTGGTCAGCCGTCGATCATGGATGCCTGATGCGGTGTCTGCATGCAGTGAGGCAGTGTTACTATTCTCATCACATACATCACATCATATCACATACTCAATTTGAAATAGTAACCGTATCACGTACGTCGTACTTGGTATTCGATTTCTAGCCATATTCAAAATAAACTATGCAGTCATGCGGTTTTTTCTACCACCCCCGCTGTTGCCTCCACATCGTCTTTTCCTCCAGCTGTGGTGGGCGTGGTGGTTTCCGATGTATATTGTCCTCTTCTCAACGCAGCCAGAGACATACTCTCGCCTTGAAGGAGGTACATATACCAATAATACGTTCCTACCTCAATATTAGCCACCCAAACACAAACAATCATAAACGATAAAGCACAAGAAAGAGAGTGAAAGAGGAAGAAGGTATCTCACCCGCAAAAACCCCACCCCCCACAATATTCCCCAACAGCGTCGGAATAACCCCCTTCCAGACATACAACCCCACAGTAATATCCTCCGCGCCCAACCAAATCGCCAACGGGATAAAGGTCATATTCGCCACCACATGGTCGAATCCCAACGACACGAAGCCAAAGATCGGCCACCAGATGCCGATGATTTTGGAGGTGAGGTCCCGGCCCTGGATCCCGAAGAAACAGGCCAAGCAGACGAGCCAGTTACACCCGATGCCGCGGAGGAAGATTTGTTGGAATTCCGGCGTGACTTGTTTTTTGGTCGCGTAGGAGATTACTTCGGATTTGTAGGGGTCGGTGGAGAAGACTTCGCCGTCTGGTTGTTTATTCATGTTAGTGGTGGGTGGAGGGGAAAGGGGGACGGGGGATGGGATAGACGTACAGCCGAAAATAATCGCCACGAGGAACAGTGATCCGCAGAGATTTCCCCAGAAAGTAACGAACCAATGCAGCAGCATCTTATACCAAGGGAGTTGGCGTTGTAGGGCAGCGACCGTAGTATACTACTTCCATCAGTATATACTCTTTGCATATCAATAGTAGGGGGAGGGGCACCATAAACGACCCCGTACACAAATCCGCCCCGGTCAAAATAATCATACACAATCCATAGGGAAACACCAACGCGCCAATCGTCCGAATCAACCCCGGGGCATTCTCCTGAAACCACGGACTCGTATTCGTGCTGAGGGCCGTCCCGCACGCCAACCCCAGGAGACCACCCGCCGAGACGGCGCTAAAAAACACCTTATCGAGACGCATATTCCCCTTGGCGACACCAGCCCGGGCGACAAACTCCATCACCTGGGCGGGGGTGTATGCGTCTAGACTGACAGACATGGTTGCGATGGGATGCAGCGAACGAACTGTTCACGTTATCGCTGCAGATGTCCTTGCTGACTAGAAAAAACGAGTGAGGTGAATCACCAAACGACGCCGAGTAAGCCTTATATACCATTCACCTGTCCCAACGACCAATCACACCGCTCTGACACCCCATGCCAGCTTATCGGATCGACATGGAATCCGCCCCGCAAACATCAGCCCCAGCATGCGGATGGAACTCGGGGCGAAATGGCCGTGTCTTGCCAAGACCGGCCCGGACGAGTCACCGTCGGACATCTTATCAGTTGGATGAAGGTATTACGACATCTCCGAAGGATGGGGCGTCTGGACCAATCAAGGGGGTGGTGATGGAGTGTGTGCTGGGTATGTGATAGGTGGATGGTGTCGAGGTAGAGCATGTGGAAGTGGACCCTGGGTGGAATTTCATGAACCCGTGTTCCTTTGGTGGTGGGGATACGCCCGTGCATGTCCGACGCTATTGCTGTCGATCTATCCCATCCCTCACGTCGGGGTCCGGTTTTGGTTGAGTAGAGAGGCTTATCGGGGAGAAGCTTCCTTTGACGGCGGTTTGGGGTGGGTTGGGAGTCTTGGTGGTGGAATAGAGTTCGATAAGTGGTGATGGTCGTCTTGGTGACAGATGGTGGTGTCGATCGTGATGCTGGTCGCGAGGCGAGGTGAAGGCGGTGTGAGTGTGTTTGGGGCCAAATTTTGGACTTTGGTGGAGTTGAGAAATGTTGAGGGGGAGTCGTTGAACTGGGAAGCTGGAAGTTGGAAGAGTTCGTCGGTGAGTTGGATTGGATGGTTTTGAGTTTTTAGCGGGACGGTGCGAGGTGCTATTGTGGATGATGTGGATTATAAGGTGGGGAATGGAGAGTCGAAATTTTCTAGACTTCTGGCGTGGATATATTATTATCCTGACTAGATACTTTATAAGAAGGGGATGCAGAAGGTGCAGGGTAAATGGTACATGCATACCCGCGACTTGCATGGACGGGCTAGATGAAGTCTTTCTTAGTTGTACTATGGACATGCCTTTGCCGATAATCATACCATCTTTAGTCCTACATAGAGAACAATGAATCTAACTCTAGAGAATAATGACTGCTCAAATCCACTCATCTTCCAAATCAACTCATACTCCCAACGCAACCTTGACATTCCCCTCAAACGCCTCATGCACGGCATCCCACCCCAACTTCAACTGCGCCTTTTCCAGATCCCTGCATCTCCTCTCCTCAATCTCCATATCCATATCCAAGCCCCCCTTCTCACCAACATCCACCTCCTCCGTACCAGGCGTCACAGCCCTCTTCCCCAATAGCCCACACTCCCTCAGAATCCTCTCGGGCGGATATGTCCTCCTCCCCTGCTTAAACACATACCTTGATACACACGTCGCGAATACCTTTTTCTTCATCTCCTCATCTTCATCCCCCATCCCTTTCCCCCCCTCATCCCCAAAACCAGGCCTAAACACCCCCCTCTCCACAAAATGCGACACCAAATACATCCACTTCCCATCCCACGAGAAAACCCTGGACCAGACCTCATACCCCTGATACGGTTTAATCTCCCTCCGAAACACACACTGCACACCCCCCAGAATCATCAGAATCGAAGACGGGGACGACGGCCGGACCGAGAGGCGGGATCCAAAGAGCAAGGCGCGCAGGTTCGCGTGGGAGAGATCCACGTCGGTGAAGTACGTCGAGTTGGATTTGTGCATGTTGTAGTCGCATTCGCTGAGGGGGGAGCGGGTCGTGCTGATGGTGGGGAGGAAGAGGTGGGAGGGGTGGAGGGTTGAGGAGGGGGTGGGGGAGAGGTATAGGCGCGTGAGGAGGGTGTGGAAGGTGCGGATCTATGCGTTAGGGTGTTGGTTAGGTGGGTTGGTAGGGTTGGTGGGGGATGGGGATGGGGACGTACGTGCCATATCCAGGGGAGGTTTTTGTAGGTTGCGAGGAGGAGGAGGGTGAGGAGGGCGAGGAGCGTGGTGGAGTCCATGGTGGGTGGGTTGTCGGTGGGTAGGTGGTTTTTCATGTGTGTTGTATGTGAGGGTCATTGGGTGTTGGGGCTTTATAGAAACTCGATGCTGGTTAGGGTTTGTCGTTACCTGTCTTGTGCAGGTGAAACTGGTTGAGTGATGGATGTGGCTGGTTCGATGGCCGAACCTGGCCGAGCTTGAACCTTGCCGTAACCTAATCTGTGGCCCCTGAGTGATGCAGTAGGGGCATTACAATGAAAATAGTGGGTATTTATGGCTTTGTTTCGTGAGAAGTTGGATTCAGAGAGGCAGTAGCAGTGGGTGATTTATCAATAATTGGCAGACGGGAGTTGCTACAAGATCATGACAGAGTCCAGTCATCGCCAACAACTGACGATTGGCTAGATCTCTCATTACAGACCAAAGCTGACATTGGTAAATGTTCTTGTAAGCATCGAAAACATTGCTCATCGCAGAACTCGCATCGGAATTCACCCTGGAAAGTGGAGTTGAACTGCATGTGTGGTTCGTCAAGCAAGTCAGGGTCAGGTGCATTATACCAGCAGCATATTAATTTCATATACTAGCATGAAACGTCTTGTCTATATCTATTGACATATCTAAAAAATACACATTCACTGTTCCCCACCTGAGAATCCTCCGCCGGCTCCACCGGCTTTTCCACCGGGGTCACCTTCTCCACCACCTGCCTCCTCCCCGCACTCTCCTGCAACTTTTGCATATATCGATCCGATTCCGCCGCATACTTGCACCGCGTGCGAATCGCCGCCCCATACCGATAAAACAGAAACGGGGCAGGCATACACAACAACGACAAAAACGCAGGAATACACGGCGCCCAATGAATCCCTAGCCCGTCATACATATACGTGGCAATAATGGGAAAGATGGCACCAAAGATCGACCTGAGCACCGTGTTTGCTGCCAACACCGACGCCGCGTAGATCGTATACGAATCGATGAGGTAATTCATCACTCCCAGGTAGATTAATATCACCCCGAATCCGAACGGTGCCGTGGCAATGATGCTGACAATCCAGTGGATAGAGGGAGAATCCGTCCACGCGAACCAGAACTGGCTGATGGGAATTGCGATCGCACCGGGCATGCATTGCAACAGTCGAGCCTCGGGGGGTGCGAATCCCCCGTGTTTTTCCTGAGTCTTGATGAAGTGCAGGTTGGCGGGGATGGTGAACCCCACGCCGATGATCATTCCGACCATAATACCCAGGAAGGCAAGGCCGCCTACGCCGGGGTTCCAGCCGCGGACGTCTTCGTACACGATCGGGAAGGCCGCAAAGAACATGTACAAGGTTCCGTACACGATAGCAATGTACAGCGCGAAGAGGAGCACAATGGGTTCGCGGAAAAGCAGGACCCATGGGCGAGACATGGTTGTTTTCAGCAGTCTGGGTAGGGAAATCTTGCCCTTGTCGAGCTCGATCTTGCTCCGGTAGACTCGGCCCGTTAGGAGTGAGAGTCTCTCCGCGCGCAGACGCAGGAGTCGTGGTGCGTATGTCTCAGGGATTGACACCGTCATGAGCAGCCAGATGAACCCGGCCAGCGCGGCGAGAAAGCCCTCCACCCATCGCCAGCCGGCACGCATGCCCAGAAACCCACCGATGATGGGCCCAATGGCGGGCCCGAGGAAGGGAGCGGCGGCGTAAAGACTGAGCGCGAGACCGCGTTGGCGCGCCGTGAACATGTCGGAGATGGTGCCGCCAGCGTTGGTGAAGGGCGCTGAACCAAAGGCACCGGCGAAGAAACGCAAGATACACAAGGTCCAGATGTTTTGGGCACCCGCACAGCCGGCGGAAAAGGCGGCCATACCCATGCAGCTGAAGAAGAACGGAAGTTGGCGGCCAAAGACCTCACTGAATGGGGCCCAGAGAAGGGGGCCGACGGCGAAGCCGAGTACGAAGAGGGAGAGTCCGATGGTGGCCACTACGGAGCTGACGGAGAAATAAGCGGTAATTTCGCTGACGCTGCCGCTATACACGGACGAAGTGAGGGATACGGTAAGGGTGCATGAAGCCACGATCAGCGTAATGGCGATTTTCCGGCCTAGGCTGAAGAGCATCGGGTTGCGATTGTCGTTGGGAATCCATGAGACCACGTACGGGTCATCCTCAGTGCCACTTCCGGGAAATTCGAACTCCAGCACTTCTTGTGTGATGGCGGCTTGGTCTGTGAGGAGTCGCCAGAAGGGGATCTGGGACCGGTATACTCCCGGGGGGAGGCCCTGGGGGGCATCTTCCATGTCGACCATGTGGCCAGCCTGGTACCTTGAAGCTCTGCGTTTTCGTATCTGTTTTGAGATGTCATTTGGCCTCTAAATTGTACCGCTCGGTTGGGGTAGTCAGGGTTAGCGAGTGACAGACCCGGCGGGTAAAAGCGATGATAAGCAACGGACTGCGGTTGGGCTTTCTTTTATCACCGGAGTAGTGATGGCAATCTCTTCAGCTGCTGAGCTGAGACTGGCTCGGGCACGCACTAAAACAACGGGTCATGCCGCCGTGCCACCCTGACCCACTTGCAATGCGTTGCTTGGATTGCGCCTTCTGTCCACCAATATTAGCCATCTTTACAAACCACTCCCTACGATCCGGTCAACGGAGTAAATAGATCAACATTCCAGAGACAAATCAGAAGTTGTATACCGCAGAGGAGTCATTTTTGCGTGATGTGGTGTGTTTGCAAGCCAACGGAGCATGCATGGCATCGGGTATCGGCACCGCCTGGCTCGGGTGGAACCTCGGCTCGAAGGTCGGCGGTTATGTCTCTCAATGCTCGGTTATCCACCGGCTTATCCGAGATCGCTCTAGGACCCATTCCTTATGCCCTCACCACAGCAGACTGCTCAAGGTTAATCTTCTACGAAGTTACACGGGCTTAGAGCAAGCTACTTCCAGTTGATCGATGGTATATAGGACTAGATAACACGAAATATGATCCGTGCAGATTACAACTCGATCTTGGACCAATGCACTACACGTGGCGCCACACCGCAATTCAATCGACGAACAATCGGTTGATTCTAAACTCTAACTATTCTAACATGTGGAGTACCATCTCAGTGCTAATCGGTCAGCCTTTATCCTCGAATCCTATCAGGTCAACTCACCGTTACATCCTCCCAAGACTCCCAACCCCGGCCCTTGACCTCTTTGAGGTCATCCTCGGTGATCTGTCGGCCAGTCGTGAAGTATCCCGAGTGAATCTTGGCGTCGATCTCAACGCGCGAGTCCTCAGGAATCATATCTACCTGGTCAGCCCTGAACACATCATCAAGGGGGAAAACAACTCACGGTCCGGAATCGGGATACGTTCATAAATTGGGATCCCCTGCTCCACAATCGCATCATGCTTCATATTCGACATGGACAGCATGCGATCAATCTTGGTGATCCCTAACCAGTGCAGAATATCCGGCATGAGGGCCTGAAACCGCATCTACACACCCACACAATTAGCATCCAATCCCCCATACCCACCCCACCCCCAAAGGAATAGGCATACTCACATCCTTAGTCCCAGCAATATTCTCCGTCCTCTGAAAATACTTATCCGCCGTATCCCCTCCCCTCTTCCTCGAATTATACACCAAATACTTCACCACCTCGCCCAAGGCCCTCCCCTCCTTGCGAAAATAAATCACCACCCCCGATCCACCCCCCTGCGCCTCCTTAATCGCCTCCTCAATCCCGAACGTAAGATACGGCCGACACGTACAAATATCCGACTGAAACACATCCGACCCATTACACTCATCATGAATGCGCAACGCCAACTTGATCTCCGGATCCGAGACCCTTTCCGGCGGCCCAAAGATATACACCGTGAGACCCCCAATGGGGGGCAAAAACACCTTCATATCCGGTCTGGTAATCAGTTCGGGGTAACTCCCCCCGGTATGTTCGAACAGCGCCCGTCGGAGATCCTTCTCCTCGACCCCGAACCGTTCCGCCACGCCGGGGAGATACCAGACCGGTTCGACGGCCACTTTGGTGACTTTGACGTCGCCGGAGGAGTTCAGGACGATGGATCCGTCGATGGGGATGCGGTTCAGGGAAATGGCTTCGGTGATTTCCGAGACGCGCATGGTGGCGCGCGTGACGGCGATGGTCGGGCGCACGTCGATGCCGGAGTCGAGGTAGGTGGAGTAGTGTTTGACAATGTCGTGGCCGAAGGGGTCCATGGAGACGATTTTCTTGGGATCGCTCCATGCCGGTTGGCTGGGGAAGTTGAAGGTGGGTTGTGTGTTCAGGAAGTTCGGCTTGAAGTCGGGTTCGAGGTCCCCGGAGGCGATGGCCAGCGCGGTGTAGATCGAGTAGCTGCCGCCGTGGGCGCCGATGGCGTTCCGCTTGCTGAGGGTGTTTTTGGTCCGGCCGACGATGACGGGACCTCGTGTGGTGGGCGAGGAGGCGCCCCAGGTTAGGGGGATGGGGTTGGCGACGCTTTGGCTGGGGTAGGTGGTGAGCTGGGTTGGTTAGTGAGATTTTTCTGATTTGAGGAGGTGGGGGACGTACAACGATGCGGTTGCTGTAGTGCTCCGCGGAGGAGTTGGTTTGTTGTGTTGTCGTCATGTTGTGTGTATCGTGAATATAGGATAAGGGGAAAAGTGGACGGGGGACGGTGGGATGAACGAGACGTGATACTTGACTTGTTGACAGGAAGCGACGCTGATTTTATATGCCTGTGGCCGTGTCCGAGAACAAAATGCTGAGTACAGCCTGATAAGCGATAAGATAGTACCAGTGTTTTGACTATCTGGGGAGGGAGACAAGGGATGGACTATGGAGAAGGGCGGGAGGAACCACATGCCCCATTATCGTATCGTTCGCAGTACTCCGTGGCTCAGATCGATCGCGATATGATCGAATCCCTTGATAGACCTGGGGATCGCCGATGGCCAATCACAGGCCTCGATAAGACGGTGCGGCTTATCTTGTCTAATCTTATCTCTGGTATCTCACCCATCTCAGTTTCCATCACCGACAGTCGTGGAGAGAATGCAGTGAGTATTGAGTCTTATTTCTGTCGTATTGACTTTGTTATTTTCTGCTGAATGTCAATGACAAGATCTATAATAGCAGCAACTAATTAATTCCTACTAAGCATCATACACAGCCATATCGAACTCAGAACTCTTTCTTGACTATTAACAGATTAAAACAAAGTGCCATCACCAGAGTTCAGAATCGGACTCGACTTCGTCGTAGGTCTTTTCTCCGCAGCCAATTCCCGTCCCGCCTTCCAAGATCCAGCTTCCAACATCTGCGGCAACGTCAACCGTACATCCCCGAATTTCCCACCCTGAATAATGCGTCTGTGCAGCTCATCGAGCAACGCAACAGTCATAGCTCGCCACTCGACAATTTCCCCATCTCCGACCGCAAAGCACGGCAGGCTTTCTCCGGAAATACGCAGCCCCCGTTCCAACGCCTCCGGCTTCAGCGTCAATACCCCCATGTCTACGAATAACCCTCCGTTGCGGTACTCAGGGAGACCCGTTCCCAGCTCAGCGTTCTTCCACTTCACAGAGAGGAGGCGCTCAAATGGGACTTTGAGAGAGTATGCAAGCCACTGTGTCAGCTTGTGGAAGGGTTGAATTGCAGATGTCTCTGAAGCCTGGGAATGTTCGGCCAGCACGGCGAGCGGCCAGGCGTCGCCAACAGGGTGACCGGAGACTTTGGTTCGGTCGGAGGGCCAGATGGGGATGAGGGTTTTCTGGAGGACTTCCCAGAGGAGGGAGTAGTCGAGGTCTTTGCCGTTGCTCGTAGCGAGAAGGTAGTCTGCGTGTCCGATTGATTCATCGTTAGATAACAGCAAAATGGAAGATGGGAAGCTGCACACACCTGCAATGTGGCCAGGCCGGCCAGAGGGCCCAAAGATATCCGAGAGCTTGGTCAACGATTCACCCAGTCGCTGAAGAATCTCCACCCGAGCAGCAGCTCCCACGAGCGGATTGCTTTCATCGACTTGAAAACCGCGACAGAGTATATCCACTCCGAGAGTTCGTAGAGCCTCTCCTATTATTCCGTGAGTAACCGTTACCTAATCTGGGGAGTGGAACACCATACCATGCACCACATCCTTCCTCTCCGAACCTTTATTGGCGAAATCCCCATTCAAGAACATATAAAGCGATGCGACCGCAATTCCCTCGCTGCGGTTGAATACGGCCCCGGTTTCAGGTTCCCGGAACTTCCAAGTATCTCCCGCCCCGGCATCCAGTAGCACCGACACGAAGAACAGATCCAACAGACTCCGCACTTTTTCCTTGTCATCGTATCCTGAGGCATCCCACCGCTCGATCAGTTTTTGTATCCGAGGTACGCCGCCGACGTCGAAGTGCTGCCAGCGACCGTGGGGAGGGATCTGGTCGTAGCGGTCCGGACCGAAGTCGCGCTTTAATTGTCAGTAGTGTCTCACCGACTCTATAGGCTGTGGGTAGCTACCTGGATTATGCCCACGACATAGTCAACCGTCGCATCGAGCCGCTCAGGGTGGTAGTCGTAGTGGTGCAGCTTGCCTTGTTCGGCGAGGCTAAGGACAGTGCGGGCACGGTCGCGCACAGCTTGTAGGCCGAGCAGTTGCTGGATATTGGGGTCCATGGTGTTTCTCGCGGAATGTGTAGACTAAATATTAGCCAGTATGGTGATCAAAGATGAAATCAAACGAGTTGTCCGAATCTTGTCTGAAGAAGGGATGTGTTGGCAAGAGGGGATCCAGGAAAGCGGGGAAGGCGCTTATCTCCTCGGCTGATAAAGTATCTTATCTGATACGGGCCCGATAACCGCCCTGCCGATGTAGTACAGCCAGTATCACAGCATCAACAGTCGGAGAACGCCATGTATTTTCTCAGTGATATCTAACCAAAGTATGTGTATTTATTTATACCGTTATATCGACCACCATAGCCATGTCTCAATCATCAAAATACCTCCCATTCACTTCTCCCACATCTCACACCAATTAACCCCCATCACACTCACCATTCACCATGACCATTTCACTCCCCCCCAACGTCCACCACCCCCAAAATGACACCTTCACATCCCTCCTCTCCAAACTCAGACACCGCACCCTCAAGCCCACCGAAGTCCGCTCCCTCATCCGCAACATGACAGCAACCATCACCAAGACCCTCCACATCGACGCCACCGAAACCGAAACCATAGCCGTCATCGTGGTCCTCCGCTCCGGCCTCTCCATGTTCGACGGCTTCATGGATAATATCCCCGCCGACGTCAACACTGCCGTCTACCACATGGGGATCTTCCGCGACGAAGCTTCACTACAACCAGTCGAGTACTATAATAAATTGCCCGTGAAGCCGGCGCATATCAAGCAGGCTTATATTCTCGACCCATTGATTGCGACGGGGGGGACGGCGGCGGCCGTTGTTGAGATTTTGAAGTGAGTTCTGATCTTTTGGATATGGGTACATATTGACTCTGGGCTAGGGATTGGGGTGTCGAAAAGGTTACGTTTTTGTCTATGTTGTCGACGCCGGTCGGGTTGGGTCATGCTGCTGCGGTGTGGCCGGAGGGGAGTCACTTCGTGGTTGGTGCGGTTGATCCGGAGGTTGATGCGAAGGGATATATTCAGCCGGGAGTGGGCGATATTGGGGATAGGTTGTATGGGACTGCTTTTGATTAGATTAGATGTCATGAATTAACTAATATGTTTTAATGTGGAGGAAGACTGCAGCATCACATCACTCGTGTATCTCTAAGGTTTCTGTAGATTTTAAGCTGCGTTCCATACTCATTTCAACTCATTGAAACATTTTCTTAGAAATTGTATCTTTATCCTTTCCCACTGATTTCACTCTCTTCGTGATTCTGTATCTCTATCTTTCATCTGCTTTATCCTTTTTTTTTTCAGGGTTGCTGTTCTTTTTGCTAGATGAAAAGTCATAATCTCAGAGTCTATAAGCAGAGCTCAAAGACTGGTCAGCTTAACTGCTACAATAACAACAATCAATGAAACCACATATTCAACCCCAAAGCATAACACTTAACAAACACAACCCCCGAAAATGCAACCATCGACAAACCCAGCCATATCCCTACTATGTAACAAGAAGCTATATGCAAATTTCCAATACCAAACCCATCCAACCATCCCAATCACACCCGCTTTAACCCACCCTAACAAGAAGTTCCATAATACCGATCCCCGAAATCTCCCAATCCGGGACTAATGTAGCTATACTAGTGTCAGCAAGCCCATCCCTCCAAATTAAAAAAAAGCGGGAAACGAAAGGAAAGAGGGGCTGGGGGGAACCCACTTCTGAGCCGTCAACTCCGCATCCACCGCCGCAGAAACAATCTTCAACCCGGGGAACCTCCCCGACACCACCTCCAGGCCCTTTTTCGACGACACCACATTCACCAGCACAATCGACTCCTCGGGAACCCCATTACTAGTCAAATTCTCCACGGCTTTGATCACCGATCCGCCCGTCGCGAGCATAGGTTCCAAGAGCAGGACGACTACACCATTCCGCGTTAGTAAATTTGCACCCCCCCCCCAGAGATCAAATCCACACAAAAAGAGAAGAACAAGGGGGAGACGAACTGTCATTACTGATCCCCGTCGGCAACTTCGAATAATAAATCTTGGCGATGCTGGTTTCCTCGTCGCGCTGGATGAGCAATTTACCGAAGCTGAGACGGCCCCTATACATCTCTTAGTGCCATATCCAAGTGAATTACTTTGATAAAGGACACTCACGTCCACGTATCCCGCAACGCCTGCTCCATGCATGCGCCCGCGCGCAAAATACTCACGCCACAGACGCCTTTGGTGAACCGAATCCCCTTGAAGGGTTTGTCAATTGGGGTCGTGATGGTGTATTCTTCCGCGGGGACGTGGTTCAGTGCTATTCTCCGGTTAGATATTGACCTTTGAGGGTAATAAACTGGGGTGATGAAGGTAGGCACACACCCGACGTGATCAACCGACGCACAATCTTCTCCACTGCGGCGGAAAACTCCCGGTCGTTGGTATTCCGGTCCCGGATGATTGTCATGAGATTTAGCAGAGCGCGATCCTGCTCCAGGACAGTGATGCGGTCCATTTGGGCGTTTAGGGCGGAAATGTGCGATTCCATGATCAGGTTGGGTTTGGGGTAAAAATTTTTTCGACAGGTGTGGGGGGCGAGGTGTGGTCGATTGAAATAGGCACTTCCGGGCTTCCTGTAGTCAAGGCTGGATATAACTGTAATCCGAGGGAGCTTAGACTTAGTCTCGATCGGCAGCTTTTTAGTCGCGCTTACGCCTATCAAGGAGGGAGACGGACTGAAAATTCGGAGGAAAAGGCGGGGGGTTGCGGTGCGGATGGGTGATAAGATAAGCTGGTCTGTGTGAAGATCTAATCTTATCTTATCTGGCTGGGTAGGCAGATTGTGTTGAATGGTACTCCATATAAGTTGTCGGGTTGATGAGGTTCTGATTTCAGAGTGAAGATACTTTGGAGAGAAATCTGGGTGGTGGTCAAACTGTCTTTTGTAGAACTATGGTTTCCTACGTCATCGGAATGTGAGGGGAAAGACTCCTGCATAACTACGCTGCCACTGCAGAACACAAGACAGGTCTAATCAAGACAGTCACCTGCATTCAGAAATGCAGTCACTACTACTTCACCATTGCATGTATTCATCTTGGAGCACCCATTTGCGTAACTTCTCAGAACACAGAACAACCGGATCATGTCCGGGCCAGAACCCGGCATGCGGCTTCCAAGCAGGCCTACTGGATCATCTGTTCTACCCCACGATCTGTCCCCGTGGGAAAGCGTGGGTGGAAAAAGAGTTCTCAGCCCAAATGACGTCAAAGTTAGTATCTTTGCATATGGCTTTGCCGGTTCGCAATGAGTGCTATTCTTTGCCCCAGGGTGATCAGGATTGCCACAGTCCCGTATTTTTCCTATTCCCTATCGTGTCATGAGCTTAGTAAAATGTCTCGAACATGACTTGCCAGAGTTTTCACCCGGGATACAGATGCCCTTGATCAGGACGATCTTGAGGCATGGTGAATACGGCCTGAATCCGACGGTCAATACTAGGGATTTTCGCCTATAACCTATCCTTGGCCTGAATGAGATGATGGTCGGATTTATACTCCGTACGAAACAGTTTTCAGGCATAAAGATCAGGCGAAACAGGCACTCAGCCAATCACAGCTCCACTGCTGCAACCGTTTATCCAGGCGATTTACGTAGCCGGATCGCTTATCAGCCAACGCACAGACCAGCCGACAGCTCAAACCTGATAAGGCTGGGAACACCAGAATCGAGCTTCGACAGATACCATCATCGAACACTATCTATGGTTCGATCGATAGCATACTCTCAGCATGCCCCGGATATCAAGCGCCTCCTCTAACCGCGCAAGGTTCACGCCGTTCTCCGCCGCTTCGCCCGCTTCCAGTGAAGATACCCTAGCGTCGGGGCACGTGCGTCGGACTTCAAATGTACGTTGTTTGATTCCTGATAAGCTGAGAGCACATGTTGATGAGGTCCTGGAGATAAGCCCCGTCGTGACAGTCGTAGTTCCCGATCTAGTCATGCGGGAACTGTATCCCGAGAGACTGATGGATCGGATCGCGACGAATCATCGCCACGGCCGCAGTCCGCGCCGACGATCACGCATCTGTTCATCAACAATTCGCGAGTCATGTCTAGGTCGCAGAATTGGACCAATGTTCTGGATCCAGTAAGTAAAGTTGATTCCAGGCGTTGTGCGGGTGCTGACTTGACAGGTTTCACAACGTCTACTCTGTAGGGTTCCGGGGAGTACCCTTCAGGAAGTACAGAAAGCTGTTGAGGCTGCGCAGGATGCTCAGCCTGGCTGGGCTGGGATGGGGTTCCAGATTAGGCGTGAGCATCTGTTGAGACTTGTGGATGTATTGAGACAGATGTCTCCAGAGATTGTGAGGCGAGCCGTCCATGCGAGCAGATGGTAACTAACAATGACGGCCTTGTTCTGCTGCCATAGGTCACCTGTTTGTCTCGGGAAGTTGGCAAGACATTAGCCGATGCGGATGCAGAAGTCTTTCGCGGTTTAGACTGTATACACGCCGCATGTTCGATTGGGCCTGAAATGGCCGGTATGTTTCTGGGAGGTGATGCGACATTGCTTCAAACCTTCTACGAGCCGGTGGTAGGTTGGATGATCATTCTTCTTGGCATCTCACTAACGCATCATGGCAGGGCGTATGCGTGTCAATTACTCCCTTCAGCTTTCCCTTCATGATTCCGTTATGGTCTCTACCGTATGCGCTCATTACCGGTAACACCGTCATCCTGAAGCCATCCGAAAAGACGCCAACAACATCCTCTTTGCTAGCTGCAGCATTCTTGAAGACCGGCTTTCCTCCGGGAGTTTTCAATGTTCTTCACGGTGGGCCATCCACCGTCCAGATGCTGGTTAGTCAACCATCCGTCCAAGCGGTAAGCTTCGTCGGCTCCGAATCTGCCGCCCGGCAGGTCCATGATCTTGCAAGGGCCGCAGGAAAGCGAATTCAAGCAGAGTGCGGAGGCAAGAATCATGGCGTTGTGCTAGAGGACGCCAATATGATGCCGACGCTTTTTGCAATCGCAGGAAGTGCCTTTGGCGCTGCGGGTCAGCGATGCATGGCACTGAGCGTGGCAGTGTTTGTTGGTCCAACGAGGGAATGGATCCCTAAGCTGGTGGAGCTGGCGCAGTCAATGGTGGTAGGGTGTGGAGGGGATCAAGAATCCAAGATCGGGCCCTTGATAGATGCAGCTGCTAAGACAAAGGTCGGTGAGATGATACAGCGAGCGATTGAGGAGAGAGCAACGGTTCTTCTGGATGGTCGGGATATTGAGGTCCCGGGCTATCCAGATGGGAATTTCATGGGTCCCACCATACTCTCGGGGGTGGAGACGTATATGGAATGCTATCAGGCGGAGATCTTTGGGCCGGTGCTCATCTGCATGGAAGTCGACACGCTTGAGGAAGCCATCGATCTAATCAATCAAAACAAGTGTAAGGATTTAATCTACACGTGTGAAGACATGACCATTAACCTGGTGCAGATGGTAACGGGTGCTCCATCTTCACGACGAGTGGAAAGCATGCAAATACATTTCAACGCTGTGTCAATGTCGGACAGATCGGCGTTAACATCCCCTTGATAGGTACGTTGAGCCCTCTTCATGGCTCGCAGTTACTAATGATATAGCGCCGTATGGAACCGCTGTCCGAACAAGCAATAAGGATTCTTTCCTGGGTGGTGAGTATTGGACACGATTCTAAAGGAGTCATGACTAACTTGGCAGACCGACATACTCCCGGAAAGACATATTGGCCATTTTTTACGACAACAAAGACGGTGTCGTCTCGCTGGGATCAATAGTAGAGATAGGACTCAATGGTGGACATGCAGGCATGATGAAAATTGTAGAGCGTGATGCCTGAGATATGCGCTGCTATGGTTTCATTCGATATGATGAAAGATCTAGAGCGAGCGGGGAAGACTCGTGTCGGGTAAGGAGCGGGTTCCAGTACCATGGATGATAGATAGACAACGGGATAAAATCGCATTCTACCACGTCATTCCCTTGGATGAGTCAGCTGCACGTCATCATTCAGCTCGACGACCTCCTGTCTCCAGAAGATAGCACTTATATACACATAGTCTCTTTGCATTCTCTCACCATGCCCACTCTGAGTCAAGTCCGTCAATCCAACACGGCCTTGGGCGCTGGTCGCCCACACATGGTCGCCGTCTTCGTCGGCGGCACCAGCGGCATCGGGGAAGCGACAGCCAAGCAGTTCGCGCTGGCCGTGAAAAAGCCCACCATCCATCTCGTTGGCCGAAACGAGGCTTCGGGCTCCCGGATCCTGGAAGAACTCCGTGCCTCCAACCCCGAGGGATCCTTCAATTTCATCAAGTCGGATGTCTCGCTGCTGCGCAACGTGGACGAAGCCTGCGCGGAAATCCGAAAACAGGAAAAGCAAATCGACCTGCTTTTCATGTCCACTGGTCACTTAGCACTCTCCAAAAAGAGTAAGATGAATCGTAAGTATTGGTAATAGTGCTGACGAAATCCGCACAGATACCGAAGAGGGCCTGGATAACAACCATGTCCTCCGCTATTATGCCCGCATGCGCTTCGTCCAGAATCTCCTGCCGCTGCTCAGTGCCTCCCCAGGCCCGGCTAGGGTTGTTTCCATCCTCGCTGCGGGCCAGGAGGGCTCGATGGAAGAGGGCAATTTCGACCTGACCAAGTCGTGGACGTTTATGAAATCTAATACATACGCTGCAACCCTGAACTCTCTGGCCCTGGAGCACCTCGCTGCTGCCCATCCGACTGTTAGTTTCATTCACGCCTTTCCTGGAATCGTACGAAGTCCGCTGATGAAATCGACTTTCGGTAACCTTGTCGGCTCGGTTCTCACCGTCCTTTCTCGTCCGGTTTCTATGACGTTGGAGGAAAGCGGCGAGCGGAATTTGTTCATCTCGACGTCTGCAGCCTATCCAGCTGCTGCGCCGAAGGACCCATCTCATCCGGGAGTCCCGTTGGCAGGAGGAGTGCAGACGGCGGTTGCGTCGACGGGTAGGGTCGGGGGAGGATCATATATACTGAGCTCGGACGGAGGCGATGCCACCCGGGAGAAGCTGATGGCTGATTATCGAGGCAGGGGTTTCCCGAACAAGGTCTGGAGTCATACACTTGAAACATTTAAACGGATACTGCAGCCGGAATAGGGGCTTATGTTGTATTGGCGTTTGTTGGCGCATCCTGTACATGATGACTTCAGTTGCAAATGGCGTTATGGGTGGACAACACTAGGCTGGATCCTCGTACTCGGACATAATTGCGGGCACATTTTAGGGGTTCCTCTCCTTTCTAGGTGCACTCATTTTGACTCATAAAAGTCACACCGGGGATAAAAAGAAGAGCGGCATGGGCAGAAGGACAAAACAAATGTAAAGACAAAAAGAAATCTCCCCGACTGGGAGTCGAACCCAGGTCTCCCGCGCTTGTTCCCGATCGGGATTGACAAGCGGAAATCATGACCGTTAGACCATCGAGGATTAATCGTTGAAGACACTTTGTTTTTTGACAATATCATTGAAGTACCTGGTATGTGGGTGTAAAGCAAAAAGTGGACTCGCCGGGAATCGAACCCGGGACCTCTCCAATGCGAATGGAGCGTCATACCCCTAAACCACAAGCCCATCTTATTGGTAGTTGCACCTACCTTTTGCTCTATACAGGCAGCAAGACATACGTGACTCTCCTTGGATCAGGGCATAATTTCATCGCCATCGATGCTATAACTACAAGTAATGACAATTTTTGGCTTCTTGAGGTATACCCTCCTCTCGATCTTGTTTTGGCTGTGTATGGAGTGTCTCGCTTCAAGCACTCCCGCTGTTCCTCGGTGGGTGCGGAGAATGGAGCGGGGGTGTGCAGTGTTACCTATTCGTGTCCTGAACACGCAAACCCGTATTATTCGGATGCTAGCTATAGACTTTGGGGGGGGATTGAGAGTATGCATGGCTTGTATAAAATTGTCTCGTGTCATGTTCTACTTGATCAACGGTATTATCTCGGAATTGTGGTCCTTCTTCTTCTTTCCCGGATGGATGGCACTTACCGCAGATAGTATATATAGCTGCTAGTTATATCGCGTCCACCATCCACCACCCACCACCATCTCTGATGAACCACTCACACTAAAATGCAACGTCACAGATGCCATCGAGGTAGATTACAGATAATTAACCAAGTTTTATCGCTCTCAGTGTTTGTTCCATAACTGTCAAGTGCATGTTTAAGTTTTTACTGAGCTGTGGTTGTGCTGCCATGGAAACTCGGCGCAGCGATAAGCGGCCCACAGCATAAGGGACTGCATACTCCATGGGGCCAATTTGATTTGTTTGCCACCATCAGCTACATCCTCTCATTGTAAGAAGCAGAGTCCTTAGAATGATAGAAGGGGTGAAGACCCAAGCACTAGCTGAACAGCAGGAGAGACACGAAAGTGGCTAGATTATAGCAAAATCACAATGGACACGAATTAAGATCCCCAAAGCCCACCAGACATTAGCCTGATGTCCTCGTCGAGAAGAACAACACTAGGACGAACCAATGACCAAATCCCTCAATCGATCCGCTACCATGGCTACTTTAGAGGCCCGAGATGTAGAACGAGTCTCCCAATAACCGGAGTGGGGGCTATACCACGGCGCCAGGCGGGTAGCCGGTCCTGCGAGGCTGTGAGCAGAATGGTTGCTGTCTCTGATTGTTGGGTCCTGAAGGCACTCAAGAGCCAGGGTGAATGGCAGGATGAAGAAAAGCAAGGTGGCTTGCCCCACTTGGTGATCAGGGATTGGGCGGCTCGGTCCTAAGCAGGAGCTAAAGCTGCACGGCCCAGTTTAAGGTATTAGAAATCTAGACAGTACTCCGTAGTGGAAGATGCCATATACGGAGTGCAATTGTGGGATCTTCAAGCCTTGAGTACCTGTGATGAGGACTTATATATACCAATTAATTTAAAGGATGCCATGAAAACAGTTCTATAGGTCAATTCTTATCTACCGAAATTACCAAGAAGCAACACTGCTATGTACAGAAATCCCTCGCTACACCATCTGCTGCATCACTTTTTATAGCGAGCAACAACCATATCCACAATTTCCGCCACCTCCTTCGCCTTGGTCAGATTCGGCGAATGTCCCGTGTCCAACTCAACAGTCTCAACCTCCACACCATCCTCCTTCATATTCCCCACCATCCATTGCTGATACGCCAAGGGCGTAGTCATATCGCCAATAGTATGCACATAAGTCACTGGAATATCCCTCCACGCGACCCGATCCGTCGATAGACCCTGGGACATGCACTTCCCGTTCCACCGCTTCAAAGTCCCCAAATACCCCTCCACCTCGACATCATCATCCCCAGGTCCCGGACTCACAAGCCGCCCCTTCGGATCGCGATCCACAACCGTTTGATCCTCAGCAAAGTCATACGCCAGGGGCATATAATCATCGTGGCCGAAATGATGCACCACGTCAGTCATGCTGAATCCTTCGCGAACCATAAACGCGCAGAGGGAGATAATGTGCACCACGCCGCCGGGTAAGCCTTGTTGGGCGCGAGTAGTGGCCCATAGGCCAGTGAGGCTGTTGGAGGCGATTTGGCCGCTGTAGGAATGCGCGATTATGACCACGTGTTGGCCAGCATCGGCGAGCTGCTGAGTGTATTCGCGGATGTGGGCGGTGTCGGTTTCGAGATCGGCGGTTGGGGGTCGGGCGCCGTTCATGGAGGGGAGGGAGGGGACGTGGATGTCGTGGCCCGAGGATTTTAATAAGTTTGTTAGCTTGTTGTAGGAGGCTGGGACGTGCCAGGCACCGGGGATGAGGAGGACCGCGGGCTTGGAGGGAGACATTGTAATGCTTTGGTGAGGATGTTTTTGTAGATGGTAATGCTGGGAATGGGGTTTACAACACAATAAGAAGTAGGAAGAAGACGATGAGAGATAGGGAAGATATCTCGATCTCGTAGGAATCTCGCCGCTATTTATACTAGGAGGAATGGAGGAATGACGAGGCTGACAACGAAGCAAACAGGAATCCTTCGTGGGGGCGACGTCCTTTTGAAGTAGACTAAGTTTTATGGGGCCCATGTCATCTAATACTATTTAGAGAGTGACGGTAGCTTATATTAATGAAGGATTTGATTACACGTTGAGCAGCCCAATGCTAGGCAAGCTAAATCTATGCAACTAGGAAATAGAAAATTAAAGATAGTTTGAACTATCTTCATTGATGTACATGGATTAGATACATACGGAAGAAGGTCGAAACACCAAGAACCAGAGCTGTGAATTGAGCACAACGTTGTGGACCATAATCAGGGAGTACGGTAATCCAAGGAGGCGCTGAAATAGCAGAGGAAGAGTAAGAGCAACTATATAGACCATTCCTTTATCCTATTCAAATAATTGAATACCCAGAGCGGCTTTCCTTCGGATGTGGGTACAGAGGCACAAGTGGGCACTACTATCTACTAGTAACATAGATAGGGCAATACCAGTGTATAACTATGGATGCTAATTATCAGATGTACTGATAAGGTAAGCCTGAATATTTTCAAAGGTGCCTAGGGTTTGAGGAAGATTGATTTTGATATCCCGTTGGATACCAGCGACCGTGAAATGGTATGCATGGGCTGCTGGATAAAAGGAAGAGGTGGTCAACCAACATGACAAAGGCATTCATTGCTAATGACTGCGACGAGTTGAGATATATGTAGGTGAGAAGCTACTTTTGCAATTTCCTTAGTCTCCACATGTAGTACATCTATTCACTTCTTTATGAACCAAGGGTGTGCATTGTCGAGTCCGGGGATAGCCGAGGCAGGGCGTGGTTCAACCGAGTTTGCATTGTTTGCCCGCACGGCTCGGGGAGACTCCGGGTCTAACCATTCTGTCTCTAGCGTACCAAAGAACCAAGTCATGCATTGCTCATTTCATTCCCGCCCCGGTCATACGACTGGACAGTATCGGCATTATTATCGTCTATGGTCTATCGTCTTGACTAATGATACAGTTTTTTAAAGAAGAAAGAAAAAAAGAAAATCGTGACACCCGCTTACTCCTGACGCACCAGCACGCCGCGGTATCTCATCTTGCCCTCCCGCAGGGTCTGCATGGCTTCCTCAATGCCCTCGGTGGTCAAGGGGAAAGTCATGATCGTGGGGTAGACCTTCTTTCTGGCGGCAAACTCGAGCAGGCTGCGAATGCTCTGGCGGGAGGCGACCAAAGATCCCTGGATCTTAACACCCCTCCAGACCAGGCTGAGCATGGGGACCGGAGCAGGCTCGAAAGCCACGGTCAGGGGGTAGATGCTGCCGTGGGTGGCCATCAGGGGCATCAGACTGCACCGTGTTAGTCATCTCGCTCGAACAGTACCAAATATGAAGAAAAGAGAAGGCGAAAGGGCACGTACGAGGGATAATCAACGCCAGCGTTTCCGCAAAGCAACAGGTGCTTGACAGGCTTGAAGCCCTCCGGAGCGGGTCCTCCGGAGCGGAAAACGTGGAACTCAGAAGCACCAAAGTCCATGGCCTCCTGGCGCTTAGATTCGGAGCTGGAAAGAACCACAACGTGGCAGCCCATCGCAGCAGCCAGCTTAATGGCAATGTGACCAAGACCACCAATACCCATGATCGCCACGCGGTCGGTCGAGCGAAGACCATACTCGGTCAGAACCGTCCAGACGGTGGCACCGGCGCACATGAGGGGAGCAGCATAGGCAGAGTCATATCCGTCGGGGATCTTGTAGACGCAGTTGGCGTCCCAGACGGCGCCGTAGCTGAAGGTACCGTTGTCGAAGTCGTGGAAGCCGTACTGCTTCTGGTTCTCGCAGTACTGGTCCCAGCCTGTGACAAGATTAGCGGTCGTGTTGATGCAAGCACTTGGCGGAAAATAGTACCGGTGGCGCAGTTGTCACAAGCCGTGCAAACACTGTGGGTATACCCGAAACCCACGCGATCTCCAACCTTCACGGAGGTAACACCAGGGCCGAGAACCTTGACGATTCCGATACCTTCATGGCCCAGAACCTGGTTGGCCTTGAGGTAGTGCTCATCGGTACCGCAAAGACCAGAGTGGGTGGTCTCGATGAAGACTTCGTTGTGCTGGAGGGTGGACGTCGCCTTGCCCGCAACAATGCGGCCCTCGGCAGAGCCACGGAAGACGTCGTAGGTAACACTCATGATGGGAGAAGTCAAGGGTATGATGCTAGAAGAAAGATGGAGGAATCCAGGTGGGAACAGGCACACCACGCCTTATAAAGCTATCTTAATCTTTAGCTATTATTAATGCTGAGCCGAGCAAACCGAAATGCCTCACGGCGGCACTGTCGTTTGGGTAACGGGGTTCCTGATGGAAACCCAGGGAACCTGAGGAAACCTTCCCAAGGGGTCTGCGGAGCACAATGCAAGGAACGTTTCCGGCATTTTTGGTCCACCCGATCCACCTCCCAACCGCAAATTTTTCCCCGAGGCAAGTCCGCATGTCGAACCTCGACAATCCGGACAATTGCTGATGCTTTGCAGTTTGCTTTCTTTCCTGCCATTGAATGAGAGAACACTTTGTTATACATTATCTATTATCCTGCGACTGCGCGTGTTAATATTGAAGGCAATAAAGCTTCTGGTTCCCGATAAGGTTTTCAGCATCGGCCCCGACAACGGGCCGAGAATAATTCGAGAAGGCCTCCGGGGCGTTTGGGATCCACCGCCGTGCCGAGGCCTGTGGCTAACTTGCTCTAGTCCATGTCAGCCGTTGTCGATCCCTTAATTCCGACCCTTAATCCCTGCCCTCGAGTTTTTTTTTTTTTTTTTTTTTTTTTTTTTTTCACACGTGGAGATGCTCTGGCTGATCTGCAGAAACGTGGGAGGACATCACTTGGTGTATTGGATGCGTGCAATGATCAGTCTGCATAGTTGACTCTACCGCCGTCGTCACACCGCTGATGCATCTGCATGGGATTAGAACCACCCCAAGCCGGTACATAGTACAACCATTTGCATCCCAAAGAGTCTAGCGCTTGTGGGTTGCTTCAGGGATACGTCACAGGGCGTCTAGCCGGAAAACGATCAGGGTTAATGTCATCGATTATAGCCAACACAAAACTCATTGCAACGGTCCGGCTCACCGCAACTCTACGTGCACATACCACTAGTTTCAATGTTTGAGGTTCCAGTCCTCATCACAATATTTAAAGACGTGAATAAGGTGAATCATTGGATTTGGGCTTGATGGATGGTGATTTGACGGTTGATCGATGGTACATTTCCCAAACTACCCATAGGTGATGAAAACAAGAAACGAAGAAGCCAGAGACGACACGCATCAGCGTGCCGCGTGGAGATACCCACTTTAGCAATGATAGTGCCAATCTTGCGTGATTATTTCACTTGGTCGCTGCAGGCAAGTCTTGCCCATCACGTCAAAGAGAGCCCTTACTGGACATGGTGGGTCCAGCCCCGAGAAACAAGGAACTTTTCGTCAACGGTAATCAAGGTGTCCCTCCATGCACATTGACTTCTTCGCACCGGTAGATAAACTACCTAGACTTTTTCGTCATTCTGTACATCCTTCGTCTGTCCTGTTGACTGGGCAACTATGCTTCTACCCAACGAAAAGTGCAGATATGTCTGTATGCATGCTCGGCGAAGGGCTTTATGGACTAGGGGATTGTTATATCTGGAATCTGCCATGGAGCTACCTCATCTCAGACACAGGATTACGCATGACATATTTTAGATGCGACTCTTTCATGCGAATGTACCTGAGGGAACCCGGCCGGCTGGCACGAGATCAAAGTCGAGCATTGGGAAGTAACGTCCTTCTCAATCACCAGTAGCATTTTTATCAAGGGTGTATCCCCTAGTCCCTTCCAGGTGGCCGACATGACCCTTTACTACTACTTCAATTTGGAGACAGCCATTCGCCGGTTGGCATTACTGGAATGCCTGTCCGATGCTATTCGTTTCTTCTGTGTGACCTACGGGCGATCCCGCAGGCGTCGAAGAACCCCATATCAATGAGAAGACCCCAGCATGTGTGCTCAATCAGGCTATATGGGTTTTTTTTTCGAGGAGCATCGTATGTAGCGTCCATATTTGTTCAAAGTCATGTTGCCGCGAAAATGACGCTAATGGTGTCGCCATCCCACAAGGCATCGTCCTAGTGTTTCAACGACAAATTATCATTAAGCCTTGACTAGGCTTGACCAGTTGCCCGGTCATCATACTCCACGATCCGCAGCGGGAAGGTAAGTTGAAAGAAGACATAGCCCACTCACAATCTATGCTACCGAAATTCAGCGAATGGCAGACCTAGAGCATTAGACCGTCCCAAACATAATTATTTTTGTGGATCCATGCATAGTGCTCAGCTGGTATACTCAGGAAGTTGGTGCATCGAAAGGTTTCAGATACCCTGGATTGAAATCACGTCCTCGTACTGGAGTCTAAGAAAGGCCATCTATTAGTTTAATGTCGGAAAGAAATCAAGAAATAATACTTGCATAACCATGACATGTCGACAAACGAACTACTCTTCCTGATCTTACCTGCTATGTGGCCAGCATGACTTGGAGTTAATCGACAGAGCTTATTCTTGCCCCACCGCGCAGAGTTACTAGTATGCACTTTGACGGGTCGGCTGCGAGCGAGCAATCGACCCACAACGGCCCGCTTGATAAAGTGATGGGACTTTGCCGGTGTCAGCTCTGGCATCGACATTGCTAGTCTTGCCCCAGGGTCCTCAGAGCCAGATCGGTCTCCGCAGACCCCATCAAATGCTCCATTTTGGTGCACGTCACAGTGCTGTGGGGACTGGATTAGCATGGGGGTGGGCCGGGTAAGGATCTTTCCACAATTCAAAATCAATGGCCCGTGGATATGCCTACTGTTTACTTCTGCCGCCCATTGAACACGGAGTATCGGCCAAATTTCTTTGAAACTGTTGCATTGGGTCAGTCCTCTTGCACTGGCTCGTGGCTCATTTGGATGGAATTTACTTCTAGGTCATCCCGTCTAGGTCTAACATTATCTGATGCGGTACTAAGATGCCCCCCGGACTCCTAAATAAGTAATCTTCTTCTACCTTGGACTTCACCACAATGAGAGATATTTATCATTGCCGAAAAGGGCAAAGGTTGTGTTATTCCATGCAACTCTCACTCGTATGTTAGCGACTCAGACTGCGATGACGGACGCTGCGCATGCAGCCTCTTCTCTAAATTAGACTCTAGCAGCCATCACATGCTTTACAGATCAAGTCCCCCCAGCGATTGTTAAACCAGCAGACTACAATGAGACGGGCTTCGAACTCGAATATACTGTAGAGATCAAGATGCTAGCAGGAACCTGATCTTATCGACGGCCGCATTGTTGACGAAAAGTCAATATCACAGTGAACCCACTGGTCTGTTTGGTGTTAGCCAGAGAAGAGTGTGCTGAAAGATCAGACAAGAGCTCTCTTTATAGCCTCGTGCTTTAATTCAGGAATTGGCCTTCGGTGTTCATAGGCCGTGGTAGTCACTGTTGACCCATATCTCCATAGTATTCACGCCGAGCATCCATGCAATCAGAACCGCATGCGACCGTGCTGTGGTTGGGGATGTGATCCTGGGGCTGTGATGGATGCTTGGTGGCTGGCGTCGGCGAATCACATCCCTCGACTAAGCGCCGACATGCAAGCCAATCACGATCTCCCCACTCTCTCCCTCCAGACATCCTCTTACGATCATTGATTATCTTAGAAAGCCCCGGATCATGGAGTCGGTCTGCGGGGTTGACTGTCCTTTCTCTGCTCGTGTCCAGGTCCATGTCTTTTGACCGTTCATCATGGGCACACTGAGATTGACCATCCCCAGCCCTTCTCCCGCCCTGACATTCGTGCGGAATCGGCAGCGGAAATTCCTCTATGCGGGCTTATCGTCCATCCTTCTGCTGGTGTTATGGGGGACACTCCTGATCGTCTTTGATGCTCCGTACGGTGGACTGGGCCAGGGGATCGGCTCCGATGGAGTGAGTCTAGAAGCAGTCCGAAACCAGACACTAGGGGTACGTCAGTAGCCATAACCCCGACTATACTCATGGCTGACAACGGCAATATATAGTTCGAGAAGATCTTCTGCATCAACCTCCCCAGCCGAACAGATAAACGCGATGCGATCGTCCTAGGTTCGTCGATCACGCAGTTTCACGTCGACTGGATCGACGGGGTATCCTCCGAGGATATGAGCCCTAAGGCTTACCCACCGGTAAACCATACCTCCACTATATCCCATCCCATGCTAACCCTTCCAGCACCTCGACGACGCTGACAGACCTCGCATGCTCCCCGGTGAAATCGGCAGCTGGCGAGCCCACGTGAACGCCCTGCAACGGTACCCCCCTCCCCATCCCCACACCACTACCTAACTAACAACCCCCAGCATCGTCTCCGAGCGCATCTCCACCGCCCTAATCCTCGAAGACGACGTCGACTGGGACGTAACCCTCAAAACCCAACTGCACGACTTCGCCCAAGGCGCCCTCGCCCTCCAACCCAACCAACCCCACGCCTCCCCCTACGGCCCCTCCTGGGACCTCCTCTGGCTCGGCCACTGCGGAATGAAATGCGAACGCAACTCCCCTTTCTACATCATCAAAAACGACCCCACATCCGTCCCCGCCTACGCCCTCCCCCAATACTGGGCCGGACCCGCCATCCACCCCCTCGTCGACAACATCAAACACAACCGCCTCATCTGCAAATCGACCCTCGCAGTCTGTTCCACCGCCTACGCAGTCACCCTTCCTGCGGCACAGAAAATCCTCGCTGCGGTATCCGTCGCCCCGACGGAGGAAAGCATGCCGGCTGGAGAGAGTATCGTGTATGATGTGATGTTGGGACGGTTATGCGAGACGGGGTATTTGCGATGTATTTCGACGTATCCGTCTGTGATGGGGAATTGGAAAGGGGCGGGGTTGCCGTCCAAGGGGTCGGATATTCAGTATCGGTATGATGGGCCGAGGGAGGAGAGGGTGTTTGAGGGGGCGAGTTTTTGGGGGGTTGTGTATAGTGTGATGGATAATTTGGGGGGGTTGGTAAGCGGGGAGAGGGTGGTGAGGGCGTCGGTGAGGGATGTTATGCTGCCAGTGTTGGATTTGGGGAGGGTGAAGGGGAACAGGGGGAAGTTGCATGTGTTGGATTATGAGGAGATGGTGTTGAGTGGTGTGTAGTGGGTGGTCTGTAGTTGGGTGGGGTTGGAGGTATATGAATTTCAGGTAGGGAAAAGAGGTGGGATAATGTAGAAGGGAATCAATTTGTGTGGGTGTGCCTGGGATATATGCCGTTGCTGGTATCTATGTGATTAGTCTGGTCTGACATATATCGCGCCGGGGAAGTATTAGTATTCGCTCAAGGTATATCTATTCCAATCGGGTTGTCCTGGCTGCTTGTGCGACATTTTTCCAGATCAAACCCGAGTCTCACTGTACTACATCACCGTCCAAGTCGATGGAATTAGACCACTCCGGTAGGCGTCACCCTGCACTACCCTATACATCCAGGACGATCTACAACCAGAGCAGATCAATATTGCGGAATGGTTTTGATGTACATCATCCGCACAATCATGATGACTTCAATATATCAATTGTGATATCACTGCCAAAGTATATACAAAAACGTTTCATATCCGACGTTGAATCAATGCACGACAGTCACTTCGCTCGAGTAGGTTGAGAATTCGATCATCTGCGGAACTATAACGCTCGGTTAGCTTGGCTACCATCATTGGGAGGAGTAATCATACCTCGACTTGCGTTCCGACAGGGCTCTACCAACGGCCAGGACCTCCGTGAGGGCCACCAGGGCCACCAGGACCGCCGCCGTGAGGACCGCCAGGACCACCGGGACCGCCGCCGTGGGGACCACCGCCGTGAGGGCCACCGTGACCGCCAGGACCTTCCTGGTGACCACCGAAGCCGCCACCAGGGCCGCCGCCGTGAGGGCCACCAGGGCCACCGGGACCGCCACCGTGAGGACCACCAGGACCTCCAGGACCGCCGTGGGGACCACCAGGGCCGCCGGGGCCGTGCTGGTTACCGTGCTCGTGGTGGTGGTGGAAGAGACCCATGTTGAGTGATGTGGAAGGAGTGGTTATAGAAGATGGATGTGGTTTGTGAGAGTAGATTGAGATGTTGAGCGAGATGAAGTGAGTGAGGGGTCGCGAGATCGTGGGGGATCTTATACCCTGAGCCCTGGAAGATGTGGCTCAGCAAGTGGAGACCGAATAGGGTCCGAAATCAGCGAGGTGAGATAATTTTGGGAACAGATGACCTCGTTGAGGGATCCTTCCCCAGTTTGGACATTGCAACTGACGACATAGACTTCGATAGAACGATGCTGCCTATTGCGGGATGGGGTTTATCGAAGAGCTAATCGACACTATGACGCTAGTGAGGCCTAATGACTCGTCCGATTCGTTGCGGTGGAATCGTGCCATGGTTTAACTCAGGAGTTGGATCGCTCGGATCTCGCTGTCCCAGAGATTGGCCACGGAAATAGGGCCCGATGGAGGGATGATGGGCATTCGAAACCTAGATGATACGGCCGTACGCGTTGACTTGCACCATGATGCGAGTCGATCACGCTCTGTTGGTGCCCTCTGGTGAAGTGGCCCCAGGGATTCTATGGATTCCGGTGAGGTGGTTGCCACAAGTGGATGGAAGGCATACGTACTTCGACCCACTTCTGCTCAGCGCAGGGCTGGCTAGTGCCACGTTGGGAGGTGCTAAGCGGGGGAAGGAGGGAAATCATCGTCTCAGCCACGATGGCTAGACCACTCGTCTACCCCTCCATAGGGCTATGCTCACCATCATAGGTCGATTGGCGAGTTTCTCTTCATCGTTGTTGTGGCTGATGTCCGACTGAGGCCGCAGGTGAGCCGAGGGGTCGGGCTGGGCTTCCGGATTGGGTAGGAATCGGCCCAAGCTATGACTAAGCGGAGCTGCAACCGACTGCCAAGCCACACTAAGACTCCGCCAAGCACTGGCATTGCCACACAACAAACAGCACAAACACCCCTATCACAGTACCCCTCTTACCACCATTCATTATAGTCTTTGTCATAGCCGTCATCATCTTCGTCATCCCATTTCATCATTCTGGTGAATGATGGAGATAGATGATGTGTTGCGGTTGAGTGACATGAGATGCTGGCCTCCACAGACCGACTGAAGATCGTCTGACAAGAGACTCGAGCTGAGGGTGATGTGTGGGCAGCGTCCACTCTGGCAAACCGCTTGGCGCCTTGCCCGGAAACAGCAATTAACCCCTTGAACCACAGTTCAGGCCACCGTCTCGCACAATGTATTGTAGCTGTCAACTCTCACCGCCATCTGATGGAGTCTCTCAAAGATCTCGCCGAAGCAGACCACGCCGTGGATGACGCAGCACTCGTCGTGTCGGCTGGAATTGACGCGCTGGGTGGTGCGTGTCAAACCATGTGTTTCAGCTGACTCTGTGAGCCTATGAAGTCGAGACCGTTGGTGCAGTGCCACTACAAGCTGTACAGCCACAGACCGCATCAGATCGCTGGGTCCAGCCCATATATCGTTTCACGTTCCAGTTAGTGAACCACAGAAGAATTGTGGCTACACGCTATTCACACTGAGAACAGTGTTACGCAGAATAATGGGAAGGAATTGGCATTGTCGAGTGCAGTATTGAGCATCGACAAGGAGGAGATATAGATGATCGCCTTCTACGCATAATAAATCCAGGACAATATCAGGCTGCTGAAAGACCGCTTCCTCGTTGGGTTGTTGGTCTCTTCGACGCCGATTTAGCCAAGATCGCAAGTGGTCGGGACAAAGACACGACGGCGTGGCGTCACGATCACTGTGATGAAGCTTCCCGAGCTGCATGCCATGCAATTACTGCTACAGCCCTTCAACTAAGATCTCTCTCTGCAATATCATGTGTATCATGAGCCGGGAACGCTGCGGAATAGTAACGGTCACCTAATTTCCGGTCTTTCAGTTGAAATCCACAAGCTTTGATTCTGAGCCTCCAGGTTGTTGTCTTCAGAGCCAACTGCAAGTTATCTTCATTTTTCGGCCTCTATTGCCTTTCTGCTGCAGCTCCGCCCTCACATCTTCGATACCGGCAGGCACCTCGGCCCCGTCTTTGACGTCATTGATCTCGGAAATAGTCTCCGGAGTATAGCTTCCGCTTACTTCCAACTATAGAGAGATTGGACCACATCTACCATAGAGACACAGAGATTGCTCGCGCAATTGCTAATTTCAGGATCTATTTGTAAGCCTCTCCTTTTGATGCTACCTTCCGTGATTTCTTATGTAAACCATTGAGGTGATGTATGCTGCGATCTAGACCCGATGAGCCGGAAATAATCGGGATTGACCCATCACTAACTGACCTCTAATGTGATTGCCGCCCCTTGATGTGATAAATTCCGTTCGATCTTGGCTACATATCTACCAGGAACAGGGTACAGCGTGATGGGCACAACCACTTTCATGACAAGGCTTACTGAGTAGTTCTTAAATTCTTGGATTGATTAGGTCGTGGGTTGATCTGACACCTTGACGAAACAGAGGGATCAGATATCTTTAATTAGTGATTAAATCGGCCTGTGACTATCTCATCCCCCATACTTTAAATGTCCTCCTGCCCACATGAAGCCCCTCGATATGTAATCAGATATCTGCATTATCGCAGCGATATCACAAGTTCCTCTTCACATCAATGCCCCTTATGACCTCGCGCCGTAACTCACTCAATCCCCCCCTCATACCCCATCACAGCTCCCTACAGAAGATCATCCCTTCCCCCTCCCCCTCACCCCATCCCCCATATCTAGCCCCACCGGCGTTCCCAACATCCATCTGGAGAACAGCTCAAAGGGCGCCACCCACATCGACTCGAAACTATAAACCGGACTCTTCGCAACCACCAACATATCCTCATGCATATGCGCCTGCAGAATCCGTCCATGACTCGGCTTCATAAACGAGACTAGAAGTGCCTATCGCCACCACCAATCATCAAATGACCAATCAGCATACACTCATTCACCCCGAGAGCGAGAAAGAATGGTTGTGGGTAGACAAACGGGAACAGTATCATCCGGATCAAATCCATTCTTGGTGACGCGGGCATTCATCGACTGAAGAATCGCAACAAGCTCATACCGCATAAGATGATCCTCAGGACAATCTTCCATACACCAGTGCCGGGAGATCATGGTCAGGTGCGGGTATCTCCGGTCCTGGTAGCGGTAGATCCGGGATATACTGTACAGGTAGGTTTGGGGGTGCGTGAAGTGGATGAATGTGCCCGCGTAGATGGTGTCTGTGCTCCTGCATTCACCCACACCCTTCTGTTAGTGGAGTTATAGGAGGCACAAGTCAAGGGGAGTGAAAGGGAGGGCCAACACACCACGATAAATCCCAATTCGCGAGATGAGCAAGACTTCGTTCATCGCCGGTCGGGAGTGTGACTCGGGGCACGACGTCCATGTATTTTTCGAATTTGCGGGAGAGCTCCGCCGTGCGGTTTAGGGGGTGGAGTTCATGTGCGTCAGGCTTGAGGGTACTGTAGTCGCGGATGGAGTAGAATCCGGGGCTGACGGTGTCCATCCATGCGTAGCGGGAGTGGTTGATGGGGTGGGTGTCGAGGAGGTCGGTTGAGAGGGGGTTGAAGAAGAGGGGCGTGGTGGTGGAGTTGGTGGTTTCGTGATGGCTGGCTTCGAGGTCGAGGGGGAGGATGGTGATTTTGTGTTGGGTGCAGATAGTCGGGGAGAGGATGCTTTGGGGCTGGTGGGTGAGCCAGTCGAGTTTGGAGGTGATGGCTGCTTGTGTGAGGGTCTCGGGTTGAGGGTTGGGGGGGATTCTGTGGGGGTTGTAGAAGGACATGGTTGTAGACGGGGTCGGTGATGAGTTGAGGTGCGGAGTGTAGATGGCGGAGATGAAGATATCGTGAGGTTTGAGATGCGGTGTATAGCCTCTGGAATACTGTGTGTGCGACTTGCATTCACTGTATAGGAAGGGGTCACGGGATTTTAAGCGAGTGTTTGTCTCCTTTGGTTTACTGGAAGAATCCAGGGTATCTCGGAAATGTGCTGTGCACGGTCGTTCACGTATCCCATATAGGTCAATTCGATGGCTTGTTAGAGTTTAACTCGGAACGGCTTGTGCTGTGGGTTCTCATGGTTAGCTGGACTCAGGTGATAGTATGGGGTCATCGGTTGGGATATCCAGGGTTCCAGGGTTCTCAGTATTTGGCGACATTACATAGGCTTTCCAAGGTCTAGAGAACCACATACGTAGTATACTCTCATGGTTACTTGGTCGACTGGACTAAAAATGGAACGAACGGCTCTATATTACATTCGCAGCGAAGCCGTCTAGACTGGACATGCATGAGTATTCTTTGGATTCGATCCCTTTAGTTGACACAATCAAGCAAGCAAATGTTAATCATAGTCCCCTGTCAAAGAAAGCTTCGATAATCAATAGGCAGACTTCCATATGGGATTAGCAGACGCCCAAAGCTCTGGCGGTGTCATGATAGTCACAAATGGATAGAACTCCGGTATGACCGAGTCCACCGCGACTCGAATATACCCTGGATATTCTCCCTCCGGAACCTCACTGGTATGATCGAAGGATAGATCCATTGCAATGACCCAAGGTTCTTCACCTTCGACCGGATTTAGAAGAGACTCCATAGCAGCCTTGTCCACCACCACACACCAGCCGACATAAAGGCCCGGAGGGACGCCTTCGTTCTCATTATAGGTTTCGAACGCCCTGCCGAGAATCATTAGTCACAGTGCGCTTCCCACCTGAGTAGGAGTAATGACTTACTCTTGAATTTGCTCGAGAGTTGCACCGTGTAAATCACTATCGTCAAAGATGGGAGTCAAAAGTTTCTCTTCAATCCTCTTACCACCACTGGCCTGGGCCAGCGAATCATCCAGTCTTTTGAGGAACTGCTCTTGCCATGTGTCCCATCGTTCTTCATCCGAGTACTCTGCGCGAAAAATGATAAACCCGAAGTCATCAAACCCAGCCCTTTCTACTACCTGCACGACCGCATCGACTGGCTCCTCAAAGAGAGGTTTTGGGGGAGCAGGAGGCAGGCCTCTTCTTTCGCGTTCCAATCGGTAGTGTTCATTGTGTTGCGCTTGGCAGACGACTTTGCGAGCTTCTACATTCTCAAGTATTTCATCATCAATATCGTGCAAGCACTAGATAGAGACAGTATTAGTACAGTGTGTCTGTTCTTTCAGGATCCTGCTTACTTCTTCTGGTACTTGGCGCAAGTCATCCACTGTCGCAGTGCGGAGTCGCTCTTCAGACCAGCCGGGGGGGATGTATGACATGGCTAACCCCGTTCAACAGACACTCTCTTAGGCAGATGAAGGTACGCTAGATGAAACTGCTCTAGAGGAAAGCGTGAGAAAGGCCGAAGCAGGTCGCAACAAGGGACTAATGTGGTTGAGCTCGGGACGCCTGAAGCTAAAGCGGGGTGGCACTAGCGGGCATTGGGCACATGCCAGGACCACCGGCGCAGGGGCAAAAAAGGGGCGGAATGGGGCTGAAGGAAAAGCAAAACCGACGGAAAGTGCAGAATCAGGGTTCAGAACACGGCATGTACAGTATCTTACCCGTCCTGGTCTATTAACTATAGCCTAAATCTACTAAGCTTTGTACTGCAACCCCTCCCGTCCCACTTTTGATCCGCATGATCCAGGGTCACATTTCAGAACCCCTAATCTCCGAGAACATCCGCAGACCCTGGCATATACATCGCGCTACTGCTGCGAGGCGGAGGCTGACACAGCCTCGAACCGAGCAGCTCTTGCTTATCGGCGTGGTACCAGGCATGAAAATTACTGGCCCCAGGGGCGTCAGGCGGACTCGGAGTCACAAGTCTTCTTGCATTGTGGTGGTGAAAGCGTCCCGTGAGGGGATATTCTAGGTCCCGCGGGGTTCGGGTTTGATCTCCATTTAGTCAAAGCAATGGAAAAAGGATATCTAGAAGTAGAGTGAAAAATACAACTTATTCAAGACTATTCACTCGTCTGCGTATGCCATTTGATCGATACATCGCCAGCCCCTTATTGACCGGCCTAATCCTCGGATAGATCTTTAGATACCCGAGACAATTATCTAAGAGCTAGACACCGTTGGACTCGCCGTGGTAGAGACAATAAGACTACCGGAGGTGCTGGATGAAATGCTTGGCCCATCAACACAGTACGCATCACCGAGGACCAAATTTCCGCAGGTGGAATTCAAGTTCGAGTTCCAGTACTGCAATTGCGCAAAGGTGATCCCGTATTCACTCTCCAAAAGAGCACAGTAGTCACCAGTGGCGATAACATGCCACTCGTAACAATCGGGCGTGGTTCCACTGAGGGTGGGTGCTGGTGCTGTGACATAAGATGCGCTGGCTGTGGTAGTGGTAGTGGCATTGGTACTGTTCCAACTAGCAACCGGGAAAACGCAGTAGCTCAGACCCGGTACCAGGTTAGTACAATCGGAATTCACGGATGGATTGATTGCCTCAAAAAGAGTAATGGAAATGGTGTTGTTCAGGGCAATAAGGCTGCAGTCATCGCCGCTTTGAACCACGTAATATCGACCACAGTCAGTGGTCGTGCCGTAGGCGAGATTACTCGGGACTGGTGCAGTGGTAGTGGCATACACCCCGGTTTGCGTGGCTGAGACACCAGGAATGGTCGTTCCAGTCCAGGTTGCTCCCGCCTGCCCAACGCAAACTTCCTGTCCCGCGATCAAGTTCGTGCAGTAGCTGTTGATTGTTGGGTTCCAGGAGGTAAACTGCACGAACGATATTCCCGTGGCGTTTGTGATGCCCTGGCAAGTATCCCCATCCTGGACTGTGTAGATAGCACAGCTTTGCGGAAGACATAATGTGGCACCCGCTGCTCATTGATGTGTTAGCCATTGGACCATGCATAAGCTGGGTATATCAGAGGAGAGGCATACCATCAAGATCAGAGCAATCAGGCAGTAGACTGTTCAAAGCAATCAGTGCCCCAGTGGAAACATTGTTGGCTTGAGAGATCTTGATACAATTGTCTCCAGAGATAACAGTATAGGTTGAACCAGTTAGGCAGGGCGAGCTGGAGTAGTTGGCAGCCGCAAATCCAGCAATGCTGGAGACATTTGTGGGATTCTGTGGTACTTCTGTTGGGTGGCTGACGTTGCACTGAGCCTGGATGGTCGTCCAGTCCGCTGCCATGTCGGAGTCGTAATATGAATACGGTGTCTTTTGAAGAAGCTGGTACAGTCCCAGGACGCACGGCGAGCACAATACCGACTCCGGCAGTGAGGTTGCGGATATATCGTCTGAATAACTGATCGAGATGTTGTTGAAGTAGTCTGGGACCACAGCTCTAGGTTAGCAATCATTCTCCAAGGCAGACACCTGTGATCAGTGGATACGCACCCATGCATGATGTTCCTGTGCCCGGATCTGCCAGACAAGAAAGGTTGTATGTTGCCCAGTAAACATCTCCAAAGTATGTGGCCGGGTACCCGCTCCAGGCTTCAGGTTGACCGCTGCAAGCAGCAGAAACGCCGTCGTGGTATGACTTTAGGGAAGAACCGCAGCCTTCAGTGCAAAGGGTGGCATATGTATCATTGTCGATACTGTAGAAAGAGTCCGCAGCCGCAATGTTCACAAGACTGCTGTTGCAGTTGATTGTTCCTTGCAACGCATTGAGACAGGCATCGGAAAGTGAAACTGAGGTGCTATTTGCAATGGCTGCAGCATCAAGGACTTGGAATTGTGCCATCGAAAAGCCATACAATATGGCCGAGAAGGCCAAGATTAACAAGTACATGTCAGGTATATCGTCACAAAGGAATATGATAATGGCTGGTATGTAATGCTTCCTGACATGTGGAAAAGATAGAAATATGTCGGCGGCCGCTGAGATTGAGATTCAGGCCCCCGTTCAGAATGTATAGTCTCGGACCCTTCAACCATCTATGGTTTGAGAACATGACCGCCTATTGCCGGTATCTCCAAACAATGTTAGGCCAGCCAAAGGTATTCTGTGGTAATAATTACACAACGACAAGCGGTTCATCAGGCCATTTTGGCCCCCGATATTTGTGTTGGGCCTCCACCAATCAAGCCCGGCAGATAGTGTCTGGCAGGACAGATCCGAACATTCTCAGGATGCCTGGTTTTATTGTTACACAAAGTGAGACCGGAAATGCCCGGTATTACCCTCCTGGGAAGTATCACATGGATGATCATCTTACAATGTGGCTTGACAGGCACGGTGAGCATTGGTCATCCAGCCAATCAGCTGTTCCGTCGGAAGCAGGCTAAGCTTCGGACTTGCAGCCTTGTCCTACATCTGAGACATGTTGGAGGCCTCATGTGAACAAAAGCGACCACCTGTAGATTAGGTAGCTTGTGAAGAACCAATGGATCTAGGTCCTGGTGTATGCGGATCGTGCCGGCAGTGATGAATTGGATTTCCAAATTATGCTTGCTGATGAACGGCTGTTCTATCACCATCCCTGCTAATGTCACACCAGAGGAAGAATGTGACTACCGTTAGGCCCCCCGTTCTCACATCATGCATGAATTAATACCTCAGGGCTGATGCAGTATTCTCCACTCTAGTAAGGGTCCGTGACCAGAATGTATAGAGTTAGACCAAAATCTTACCGGAAGACAAGGTCCGATACAGAAGTGTGAACAGAGGCTATGTCTTCTGGACCCAATAGACCCCCTCAGGTTGACCGGTTTATCTCACATTGTATTCTTCTTTATTTAAATATTACGCTGCAGCTGAATGAACCTTTCTCAACATTCAGGTACGGACTGCGAACCTTCCATTTTATACTTCGTCACTCGTGGACGGCTTCACTGCAAAGATGAGGCTGTTGCCCAGGGTTGCCCCAATCTTGATCCTTCTCAGTCTTCTGGTCTTGGCATCTTCCCAAGAAACAGCTTCAGCAAATGACGACTATACTTGGTACTGTCACGCTCATTCCTAGTTTTTGACATAAGGATATAACTAATTTCATAGCTCCTCGACCAAGCCGTGTACAACAGGATGTTGTGGTGTGACAGGAGTATGGTAGGTCGAGAACCCCACGAACCCCAAATGAAATATTGAGCAGGAGGCTGACAGATGACACCTAGTGGCCTGGGACCTGAGTTTTGCGGCGCAGGGAACTGTACTTCCAGCTGTGATGCAAAATCCGAATGTGATCCGGGATGGGGATCTGAATGGAGTTCAGCAGAGAAGTGTCCCCTGAATGTCTGTTGCTCTCAATATGGGTTTTGCGGTATGCATTTTATTGCTCTTCGAGACAATGTACATCGGTCATTAGAGGACCTGATATCTGACCTGAACACCAATTAGGTACGACCTCGGAATTTTGTGGGAATAAAACTGTCACCAAACCTTCCTGCAGTGGAAGTTCTGCAAACGGGAGATCAATTGGGTGAGTACACCATGACGACCAACAGCTCCATGAAAGCAAGCTGACAGCGACTTTTCAGTTATTACGAGGGCTGGTCAATCACGCGGGTTTGCGATGCCAGTAAGTCCGATTCCCGGGGTTGTATGGCTCCGAGCCATTGGCGTCCTGGAACATAAAAACATTTCTATATTACATGGATATACGGCTTGCTCACAGCTACCTTTTTTAGTGACCCCCGAAGCCATTCCTGTTGGCGCATATACTCATCTCAACTACGGATTTGCCTACATCGACCCCGATACTTTTGCCGTTGCGCCCATGAGCGAGAGCGATCTTGGGCTCTACTCACGTTTTACGGGCCTAAAGGAAAGTAATACCGGTTTAGAGACATGGATCAGTATTGGTGAGATAGTTGATCAACCTCCACCGATCTCTTGAAACGACCACTGACATCTACCCAGGTGGATGGTCTATGAATGATGCTGATCAGCCAACTGCCAAGACCTTCTCGGACCTTGCTGCCTCATCCTCTGCGCAAACAGCATTCTTCAAATCATTGTTATCCTTTATGACAACTTACGGCTTTGACGGTGTGGACATTGACTGGGAATATCCAGTTGCTTCAGACCGTTCTGGCCAGCCCAGCGATTTCGAAAACTATCCGTCTTTCTTGAAGAATCTTCGTGCTGCACTTGGCTCAACGGGTCATAACTATGGACTGTCGATTACTGTCCCATCAAGTTACTGGTACATGCAGAACTTTGATATCGTTTCCATTGAGAAGATTGTGGATTGGTTCAATGTGATGACCTACGATCTCCACGGTACATGGGACTCAACAGACCCGTACATTGGTCCCTACGTTTATGCACACACCAACCTGACCGAGATTGATCAGACCATGAATCTCTTCTGGCGGAACAGTATATCCCCATCAAAAATCAATCTAGGACTTGGCTTTTATGGTCGCAGCTTCACCCTTTCTGACCCATCTTGCACCAAAGCTGGTTGTCCCTTCAGCAGTGGCGGGAATCCTGGAAAGTGTTCGGCATCTTCTGGTACCTTGATGGACTCGGAGATTGACGCTATCATTGCGAGTGGCAATGCGACTTCAACGCTCGATAAAGATGCTGCTGTCAATATTGTTACATGGGACACGAACCAATGGGTATCGTATGATGACGAGACCACTCTCAAGATGAAGAAAGATTATGCCAACGACTTGTGCCTGGGCGGTACGATGGTCTGGGCTGTGTCAACAGACAACGGCAATGGCACGTCCAGTAGCTCACTACTAGAGATGAATAGCCTGATCAAGAAAAGTCTCTTTGGGGGCCAAACCCCTCAAGTTTCATCTCTTTCGCAGTGCATCTGGGGCGATTGCGACGCGGATTGTCCTGCAGGAACCACACCGGCAACCACTGGGAAAGGCAAGTCGGCATCTAATGTAGCCATTTACACTGGATGTCCTTCCAAACAGGAGAGAAAATACTGCTGTCCGACAGACAATGTCCCAACATGTCACTGGGTAGGTTTTCTCCCTAAGAAAAGATGCAAAAAATTGAAGTGGGTTGTACTTACTCTGTACCAGCAAGGATCAGCTCCTCTATGTGTCCATCATGAATGCGCAGACGATGAAGTTCAAATTGCAACGGATCAATCTGCCGGCGGTCATGGTTGTTGGTTCAATCATAAGTCACTATGTTGCTCGTCGACAACATCTGACGCAGCCGTTGGACAATGCAGTAAGTCCACGCTTCGTGCTCTGGTTTTCATCGTCCACTTATTCTTGTTCCTTTTCACTTTCTTTCTTCTCCCCCAACTCACACGGATGAACTATGATTTAGCAAGTGATACTAACCACAAACGACACAGAATGGTCGGGCCGAGCACCGCTTTGCGCAAGTGGTAGCAATCATGCGTCTTGCGATTCGGACTTTCCCGAATATCTGACGGATAGTGTTGACGGACAAGGTGGTGAATCAGTATGCTACACTGGTGTGTATATCCCCGCTCCTATCTCGGGTAATATATTGACACTGATCTAGGATTCAAAAGTTTGTGTTGCACGGACCCTATCCCGTACCAGAACTGCTCGTGGTATGATATATTAAATTATACTGGGTACTATGAGTGATCTACATACTGACAGACACACAGGACCACTCGCGCCCATTCATTCCTGGCTCCGTTGACATGTAATACAGGTTGTCCAGCGGGCAAACAGATTGTTGCGGAGAGCTATGTGGACCATGATTCCCAAGCTCCATGCTGGCACAATACAGCGAGTTACTTTTGGTATGTCTGAAATGCCGATCTTTATGATATGATGTTTTCGCTAACTATTCCAACCTTCTAGTTGCGATACTTTCAATCAGGTAACGGCCCCAACCGTGATATGTCAGAAGCGATACTAATGAGATAAAGACTGATCCAACAGACGACCCTCCCAATTTCTGCTCCGCTGCGGACACGGACTATGTCTTCTCCGATGAGCCTGATTCTGACGGAAATCCTGCAGATTTTGTCGAGCTCTACTGGTACGAAGACGATTGTTTCGTCGTACCCAACACCGGGGATCCAGATATCAAGAAACGGTGGTACTCGCTATATGATAGTGTTAGCGACACATCAATTTTCAAGCGTTCTCTAGCACCACCACCAGGGGAACGAAACGAGGGCCTGCCAAAAATCTGCGAAGAGGACGGCAACTGCTTGAATGTTCCGAAGTCCGAGTATGAAAGTTTCCAAAGCCTCTTCTGGTTGGTTGGGAACGCCACACAACATTCGTATGGGGAGCTTCTTCCCCGTGCTCGTGCACCCAAAATATGTGATTCCAAAAAGAAGACACTGAGCAAGTTCCAGACGAAAGGCTACCCCAACGTCGGGACTCTGTCAAACACACGCCAGTTCTTCGGGGTGGTAAAATCTGCAGCAAAGACTGCTATTTGCAATGGACTGCCGGTGACCCTAGGCAAACGAGTCCTCGGTACAGACTATGTTACTGAACATGTCACTGAACTTCAGACCCCAGCTCAGTTTGCGACCAGTATGCTGTCTGGGAAGCTGCCTAGTGGAGCTACAGCGCCGGGAGCATCGTCCAACTATGATTGGACTCAGGTATTTGGCCCGAATGGATACTTCTTCCAGAGTTGGAAAGACCTTGGGATCGCTCAGCCAAGCGGCTTGGACGGTAAAAGTCCTGCGGATGCTCTAGCGACCGCCCTGGGCAGTGCATCGGACACTGCCAATTTGCAAATCCTAGAAGCTCCCACAAATGGATTGAAAGCTGCGGTGAGCTTTTTCTTGATCTTAGCTGCCCCCCTGGAGCCTTGCCAAGGAACTGGAGTGGACGGGAGAGTATGGCCGCTGACGAAGATTGATATAGGCTTGGAGGCTCTATGAGAATATCATCTCCACCAGCCGGTTCGGCGGCGAGAGCCCCAAAGGAAAGGTTGACATGATCAATCGTGTAAGGGACCGACCCTTTCTCGATCTACATCATTGAATTGCGTATCTGACATTCCTTGCCTGAACAGCTCTATGATACACTTCCAGGATACCTCAACAATGCTGATGTGAGTGATAATAATCTAGCAAGTGGAGGTTCCGCATGTAGTACTCTTCAGGATATTGATTCTGCTATAGGTGCAAAAATCCCTGGAATATGGCTATAACGCAATCAAGGCCGCTATGGCAGCCATCGACACCGCCGCACAAACCAATGCGAATATCAACTCCATTCCCGGAACGTCCTTCGCTTCAGCCTGGAAGGACTATTCGTCAGACTTCTTCCTTGAAATGCAAGGAAATCTGGTGAATTTTGTGACGAAGAAAATCGTGGAGGTACAACCGTACTGGACCTCGGCCGCTGCCAAGAAGGACTTCACCACAGCCGGGGCAACTGCGGTTTCTAGGGCACTGGCTACGAAGCTGAAGAATATCAATTCTAATGTTGTGATTGACGCCAGCTTTGTAAAATGATGAAACCAGTGGGATGTCATTTTCATCGCGCATTCATCCTTGCAACTTGGCCGCGGTATCTTTGATTGTGTGGGCAGCAGACCCGGCGAGATGGGGCCAAAGAGTATATATATATATCGAATCCATCTATCCTATTATAGTTTCTGGCCCAAAGTCGTCTAAAAACTAACAAGTATATTGGTGGAACCTTGATGTACGGGATTATTTGGGTCACCGCCTGCTTATCCGCGGTTGCATGAAGGCACGCGTCGCTCGATGGCGTGATCCACTCGATCTCCCAGCCTCCCCGCTTTCCAGTTCCCATCCCTTTGCTACCTTTCCTCATCCATACGATCAACCACAACTCATCGCCCGCCATGTCTCCCCGCGATCGGTGCGAAGAGGACATTCATCGGCCGCTCCTGGCGGACTCCCGAGGGGCGGAACCCGAGCCGGAATCCACTTCCGGGCAGGATGGTCGGTTCACTCGTAACCTCGGAGCCATCGAAGCCTTTGGCATCGTCATCAGTATTGTGATCGGGAGTGGTATCTTCACTTCCCCAGGATCCATCGATACAAATGTCCCATCACCAGGCGTCGCGCTTATCGTGTGGCTGGTGGGTGGCATGCTGGCCTGGACTGGGGCCAGCACCATGGCCGAGCTGGGCACCGCCATTCCGGGCGAAGGTTTGTTTCCCGGCCTTGCATAGAGATCTTAGCTAATTCCCCCTACAGGAGGCGTCCAGCCATACCTCCGATACATCTTCGGGGATGTTTTCGGCTTCCTGGCGGCCTGGACATGGATCATCGCTGTCATGCCTGCCACCCTTGCTATCCTCAGCATTGTGTTCATCGAAAGTCTCTTTTCCGCGGCGGGCGTGACTGACCAAGCTGGGAGCCTTTCGCACAAGCTGCTCTCCATCCTCGTTCTCTTGGCGATCGGGGTAGCCAACTCCATCAGCACCAAGGTCAGCACCCGCCTGAACGGCTTCTCGGTGACGACCAAGTTCCTCGCCATTGCCGGCATCGTGATCGCCGGCTTGGTGGTCGTCATCCTGCAAATGTCAGGCATCAATCGGAATGCCGGACCAAAAGACTGGCTTGAGCACTCCTGGTTTGGATCTAGAAACACATGGACCCCGGACGGTCGGGAGATCGACTGGAGCTCTATCGGCGGGTGGGAATCGCTGGGGTACTATTCCGCCGCGCTGTATGGGGCGCTCTGGGCCTATTCGGGCTGGGATAAGGCGAGTATCCGAGATCTAGGTGATATCGCAACAGGGATTAACGATGTTGCAGGCGATCTATATCAGTGCCGAGCTTTCTGCACCCGCCCGGCAGCTCCCGCTCGCCATCAACACCGCCATCCCCATCATCATTCTTTGCTTCCTTGCAGCTAACGCGGCTTATTACGTCCTTCTCCCATGGAAGATTGTATCGACGACTGACAGTGTGGCTGTGGTATGTATCTACCCTTCCCGGTGACAATTTCTCTAACCGATCCAGACCGCCATCACCCACCTCCTCGGTCCTGTATGTGGTATCCTCGCCGCAATCCTGATCTGCCTCGTCGTGGCTGGCTCTCTGCTCGGCAACTCCTTCGTGGCGGGTCGCATGATTGTGGCCGCATCCAAGCTGGATTGGTTCCCCCGGTCTCTGGGGGTGCTCGGATACGTGGGGATGCCACCCGACCCGGAACCTCCTTCCCGTGCGACCGCGCGATCGGACGCGCCCATCAACGCGACCATCCTGGCCACCCTTTTGCCCATGCCATACTTGCTCTTTGGCAATTTCCGCGCGCTTGTGACGTTTAACGGTCTGGGAGAATATTCCTTCTTCTTTTTGACTGTTCTGGGGGCCATCATTCTGCGGTTCCGGCAACCAGAGCTGCGTCGTCCTTATAAGCCTTTCATTGCGATCCCGATCACCTTTGCTTTGGTCAGTGGGTTCGTGGTAGTGAGAGGGGGTGTCTTCGCCCCGCTGCAGGCGGTGATTTTGATCTCGCTATGGCTGGTTGGTGTGGGATTTTATTATCTTCGGAGAAAGTGGGTTGCTAGGAGTGAATAGGCTGTAGATGTGGATGTTGAGGCTTGCAATTAGGTCCAGAGGTGATGTTCCTTGTGGTTGTCCCTGATTGCTGGGACATCCATGCCTCCCATGACTTCGAGAAACCCTTGTGCAAATGGGTATACTATAGAATGGCATCACTACAATTTGATCAATGTTGGTTCTTCCATCTTCTCGTCGCTTAAGACCAAATCGAGAATTTGAAGGATGGACGAAAAAGAAAGAAACAACGATGACAGCCCCTCGTGATACAACTTGACTGACACTAGGTCTACATCAAATATGAAAAATGAAAGGGAGTGATAACTTGCTATCCCAAGAAGTATATCTGGAGAAACTGGCAATCTTACCCACTTATCTCGTTATCAACCCATCAACCGGAGAACCACAATTCTTGGCACTCCCATCCACAACCGCCCGGTACCGCCCGCCTCCATTTTCTCTTCAACACCAATCACATTCTCACCCAACCAAGCACTCGATCAACCCCGCTACAACATACCATAAAATATAGAAACATACATTTCCACCCCATAAAGCTCCTCGACTCCTAACTCATACACCCGAATCATCCCACCATGTCATCCACAGGGACAATCGGCGTCGCCGTCGCCGTCTACGTCTTCAACCAACACGGCGAGACCATCCTCGGCCAACGCCAGGGCAGTCTCGGCGCCG